ACTTCCCCAAAGCTATCCAAACCTTCCGATCCCACATTTCTTTTGGTGAAGGAATAGAATTATACAGAGATTTCCAATGAAATTATCATACTATTGTCACTGTTTAAAAGTTAAATAACTTAGTAGCTGGAAATTTGCCTTTTGAAGAGAAGTTACAAACATCCTTATATGTCAAGTATATTAAATTGTGAGTTTAGGATTTTGTGGGCAGGAACTCCGATGGGATTTTAGATGGTTTCAAGGATACTTGGTCTTTGTCTTCTTCTAGTGCGAATCTGCACATGCTGCAAGGACAAAGCAGTTTTTCATCCGAGCTCCAGAAATTGCATATTAATATATATATATTAGCAACCACACAAGATTAGACATGATCGATAATAGAGCTGTGAATTCATTCTTCTGATACAAGCTCTCTGGTTTGGCCCTCCTGTTACTCCAGAATATGGAGGCATACAACAAGGAATGCTTGGCGCAGTATATCAGCTTCAACATAACATTAGCTATTCCAATCAACTCATTGTAACTAGCCATATGAGATTTTTTTGGATACTTTTTCCCTGTATGAGTGGTTATTTGGTTTTTTACCTTTGATTTGCATTTTCAGCAGCTAAAATTACTTGTTCAAGCAGTGGGTCTCTGCTGGGTATTGACCCTATCCCTCCTTGGCGAAGGAAAAACACAAAACGTGCCAGTCCCACTTGTGCAAAATTGTAACGCTAAAGTTTAGGTTGTTGGTGGGGCCCAATGCCACCGCTGCTTGAGCAAGCAGACAAATGACTACCTTGTTGGAAGCTCCCAAAGAGTCAAAGACTGTTGCGATTCCCTGCCAACGTGGAGTGCATCTAACTTGGCTCTTCAGTTTCAAAAATTTCACATTCTTTTGGGGATCATCCTTGTCTGCGACCATAACTATCTGCAACTGCTTACCCCATTTTCAACAAACCAATGCGATGTTCTACTTCACATAACCAATTCCATCCAATAATATAGATAATGCTGCATTAAGATCAAAGATAATTAGGGTATTAAGTTAATATTTTTCGTTTTTTCATTTTTGAATATTCTTCCTTTTACTCAATCTTATATACATTTTTAATTTTTGATTTACAACGAAAAAGAAAACATTAACATATTTAAATATATATATGTCAATTCAATACTTTAATCTTAATTTTTTTTTTACTGAAATAAGAACAAAATATGTCATTATCTTAATATTTATGATATTAGAATGATCGTGGTCGAAAGTTACCATATATATGATATCATTATTTTTTATTAAATATCAAAATTTTTAATTTTTTTTATAAAATAACGACAAAATATATATCGTTATCAAAATTTATTATGAACCACGTTAGATTTACCGTTATCAAAATAGTTACATGATATCTTTATTTTTTATCTGTAATAATTAATAAAACATCTATTATTATAATTTTTTAAAAGTCGATTTATCATATTGAGTCATTTTTTTCTAATTAAAATAATTTTTTAACTACATACGTACATTTTACGTAAAACATGTGATCATATATTTAGTTATAACATACTTTTTTTCTTTTACCTTTTAATTTTCTACATAAAAATTTCCATGTATGTATGAATAAATGCCATATCACAAATAGTATACTTTACATGATCAGATTAACAGAAATAGGTTTTCTAGATGAGGACAAGAAGTTGGTTTCCAATCATATTGGTTCTTGCACAAGACTTGGATGCAATCTCCCACATCCAATCTCTCTCCTTGTTTAGATTTGTGGAAGCAAAAATATTAAATCGAGGTGGAGAATATTATTTCTCTTTTGACACGTTGCTAACATGCAAAGGTACAGCCTTGCTATATATAGCATTTCCATTTCTCCTGGTTTTCCACGAGCTTAAAACACTCAAATACTTGGCAGCCTGATATCTCTAATTGGTTAGTTTAGAGTTGCTACTTCTCTAAGCTTTTCCTTCTTGTTATCAGCCTCTCCCATTTGTCTTTCGCCGTTTCTTCACCACCATCTGCCCCTACTTTCAAACGAGAGAGAAAAGAGATGGAGAGTTTTCAGTTGTTTTTGTTTCTAAATGCTTTTATTGGTTTTGTCCATGGCTGAAATTAAGCTTAGTTAGATAGGCTCGAATCGCATATCATTCAGTTATTTTCTTCTCAAATGAGATTGATGAGTTATCAAATATAAACCTCGTTTCAATAGAAATCCAATAGCGGCATTTTCTTTGCTTTTTCTGTTCTTTTTCAATTTTTAGTATAGAAGACAACAATCACATTTAAATGACCAGACTTCATTTCATTCAAAGCTCAACATTTTGAATGGATTACCATTTGTCTTGATTTGAACTTCTCTGAGTTATCTTTCCTTTTGTTTTTTTGTGTGTGTTTATATCATCAGGAGCAGCCTGAAAGAGATCAGAACAATGGGGGCTCCCCCTCCTGCTTTCACAATCAGACATCCAGACTATGCCATGTTGGACAACGTTACCCCTTTCCGTGACTATGATTACTTCGGTGCGTTGTGGGATCCCGTCCCTTTCTTCAGTTCAAAGCAAACATCCCAAGAGTGGACAACCAATGAACTCATCACTTTCGAGCAACTTGAGGAATATGGAGCATACTATGTTGGAGAGCGATCCGATATGTATGCTGTCTCTCATTTCGTGTACTATGTGGAGGGAGAGTACATGCCTGTGTTCAGAAAGATCACTGGCTATGATATGTTCACTTACTGTCGCAGGAGAATCATGCGAAGAGAAAACCGAAGAGGATATGCCACTCCCAGAGCGTTTTCCGTTTGTCTAAACCCACCAGCAAATTCACAAGGGCAACCCAAGAGGCAGGACATTGTCATTAATGTGGAAAGCCTTAAAATAAACCCAAATCCCAATCCGACAAACATTAATAATATGGAAAAAGGAATGAATTGTGAGGACGAAGAAGAAGCTTGCTTTTGGGATGAAATCATTGAAGATCATTTCAGTGACAAGGCTTCTTCCAGTGAATCTGATCCAGGTTTCGCTAACAAATAAAATGTTTCGAAAAGAAGCCTTTTGTGCTTTCGTTTGTTAGTAATATTGTGGTTGTGTTCTGTGGTGTCCAAGTTAGTCAGCCCTGTTGTTTGTTGTTGTGTTTACTGAAGTTAGCTCGTTAATTAGGGGCTGTATCGTTCTTCATCTATATCTTTATTAAATAAACGTTTCGTTGAATTGGGGCTCTAGTTCTGGCGTTGCAAAACAAGGTTAGATTCCAAAAGATATTAATTACACTCACCCCCACAACAAAACTAAAGAAAGAAATAGATTCCCAAAAATTACACCTGAAAATTCACATGAACCTTTGCCTTGCCTACCCCAAACTTTCATTCTTGCTAGCTAGACCGCCTATCTCTGTATTATGGTGGAATATGGGAGCTCTTACCGTAATTAAGGGGGCCATAACCAACTTACCATCTTTCTAATTTAGGATTAAAGAGTGGTTGCGCGATTCATTGAACTCCGTAGACTGACATACGTGAGCTTTTTGGCTTTTCTACAGCATGGATTTTTGGAAAGTGCTGCTCCTTTCCAAGGTAAAACAAGATAAGCCATTTGAAACACATGTTCAAAATCTTCTCCTTTTATCGTCTCCATTCTCCTAGTTAAACGTGATATCTATCTTATAACGAGCGTAAATGTGATACGTAAGAGTTATATAAGAGTGTAAGTCAGTTATAGAGAAACAGGACCATCAGGTTGTGGAAGAGTTCTTGGGGATAGTAAGGGTAACGTAATTGGTCTTTCTTTAGTCCCTTAAGTGAGCTTGAGTCCAACTATGCATAAGTTTGATTCCTCTTCATGAAAAGGTTTAAAACCTTTGGTGATAGGATCAAATTCTTGTGTTGATCTTTCATTGATAGCTAAACCGGATAACAGGCTATGGGCACTACGAAAGGTATTTTCTGAAGCTGATTGAAGAGGTTGCTTACAGACATATCTACAAGGAGACTCACTCTTTTACAGACTCTTTAGCAAAAATGTGGGTACACCGACCCAACATGTTTAATGTTTGCTGCTGGTGAAGGGAAGCCTAGTGTGTCATTATTATTTCTGGTCGAGAGGAGCTGCTGTTTTTTCTATTTATTTCTACGGGAAGGGAGCTGTTTTCTCATCTTTTTAGTGTATTTTGCTATTTATGCTTGTATTTAACCTTCTTCTGGATACCTTTGTAGATGTTTTGTTGGAGGGATGCGTTGTTCCGTACTCCTTCTAGATGCTTTATGTATGCAATTCTTCATTGGACGGTGCTTCTTTAGGTGCTTTCAAGCCAATGTTTTTTTGTTCCGATTTAAGGACTTGAACTGTGAGGTTTCTATAGTTATTTATATTAACACAATAAATTTATTTTTAAAAAATTTAAGTAAATTATTATTAATAATTTAAATTTAAACTTTTAACAATTTCGTGACTTAAATTTGAAATATTATTAGATAAATTATACTTAAACCAAATATGCACCCGAATATTTAATTTATTGATGAATGCATAATCTTCTTATTTAAAGAACAAAGTTTGAATCCTTCCTCTTTAATTATTAAAATAAAAAAACTTGAACCAAATACTTCGATTAAAATAAAAAATACTCTGATTTTTCATATATTATCGCTTCAAAATAAATCATAAAAATTCTCTTACAAAACTTGCTTTCAAAGTTAATTGACAAAAGTTAGATTAACAAGCACCTTAATGTGCATCCACAGCGCAAGCAGACAAATTATTGCCTACCAATGGATTAAAAGATTGGTGAACTTCGTGAGTCATTACATATTTGCCTTTAAGAACAAGTTCCTTTTTCTATTCTATATAGTTGAGAATACAAATATAATAGGATGCCAGGCACCAATTTATGGGGATTTCTTTCTCTTTTTTTTTCTTTTTTCTGCATTTCGATAGCAGACAAACCTTTCGACCTTTTCCTTGACAAATAATTCTCTCTACATACAAAAGAGTCCTTTTCAGGGACCGTGTTATAGGCATGGTCAAGCTCACCTTATTCAACAAAATTTGCTGCTCCATTAAGCATGGCGTCGAGTATGGCGGATCGTGGCATTGGTACAAGAACTAAATTCATTGTTTTCTCTCTTTCTGTTGAATTAAAAACCGGAAAAGTGACCGTAAATTAACTTAGGATTTCCCAGATCTAATCCAATTTGTTAATTATATTCTGTGATCGGCTGATCTGGTACCCAAAGCGCAGATTAGACGAAGGTTGAAGTGAAGTTTCAAGACTGTGAGGAGAGTAATATTTTCAGCTTCACTATGCAACCATAAAACAACTCTATGTATTCCTGGGAATTTTTAATAACAGGAACTCTCAAACTCACCTTCCAATAACTTCTTCACTGGAGAAACGACTTGCTATTTACAAAGCTTATATATTTAATTATATAGGGTCACTTGGATTCAGATTTTATAGTTTAGTGTACCAAGTGAGAATACAATGTTTTCAGTCTTTTCTCAGACAAGTATGTTTTTGTCAGCTCAACCAATGAATTTATGACACTTAATTTGATGAAACAAATCGCTTTACGGCTTATATATATGTTGGTTAACGGTGTTAATTCAGCCCTCGTTTAATTCAAATCTTGTCCCAGATATGATGATCACCATAACCTTCTGTCTTCGGTTATTTGAATTGGATTTTCTTTTTTGTCATCACGTCCTAATTAAGTTTCAGCAAGAAAGATCCTAACTTGAGAACGAAGTCAGTCATTTGAAACTTTCACTAGAAAAAACAATTACTACAAGTTTATCTGGACAGATATAAATAACTATAAAATTGAAAAGATAAAGGGCAGTGCACCGCCATAAATGGGTCTTCGCCCATATTGTAATGTGACGACCTCTTGCTTGGGCTCTTCTTGAGCTCTATATAAGCGACCCTTTCATTGGCATTGAGGAACCACAGACCAAACTCAGTTTCAAGTTTCAACAATGGCCACAAAAACACAAGCCATACCTATTTTCCTCTCCGTCCTAGTCCTAGCCCTGATTGAGGTCTCCCATGCCGGTGGGATCGCAATCTATTGGGGTCAAAGCGGCTCCGAAACAACCTTAAACGCAACTTGTAACTCTGGACTATACAAATACGTCAACATAGCTTTTCTCAACAAATTTGGCAGCCCCCGAACCCCTGGGCTCAACCTTGCTGGCCATTGCAACCCTGCAAATGGTGGTTGCAGAGTGGCAAGTTCAGCCATAAAAAACTGCCAAAGCAAAGGCATCAAGGTGATGCTCTCCATCGGTGGTGGCATTGGCCAGTACTCTCTGGCTTCTAAAGATGACGCCAGGATGGTTGCTGCTTATTTGTATAACAACTTCTTGGGTGGAAGGTCACCTTCACGGCCCTTAGGAAGTGCCGTTTTGGACGGTATAGACTTTGACATAGAGCTTGGCGTCACTAAGTATTGGGCCGATCTTGCTAGCTACTTAGCTGCATATAGCAAGCCAGGAAGAAAGGTTTACCTATCGGCTGCTCCTCAGTGTCCAATCCCTGACAGATTCTTAGGGGCTGCCCTTAGTACTGGTCTTTTTGATTATGTTTGGGTTCAGTTTTATAACAACCCCCCATGCCAATACAGTCCAGGTAACACAAGCAAGCTTTTAGCTTCATGGAAACGGTGGGCTGGGATAAGGGCAATAAAGAAGTTATTCCTAGGGTTACCGGCAGCCCCGGCGGCAGCAGGAAGTGGGTACATTCCACCTGGTGTGCTAACCTCTAAAATCCTTCCAGAGATCAAGAAATCGCCAAAGTATGGAGGTGTTATGCTTTGGAACAGATACTATGATAGGGTCAATGGCTATAGTGCTGCCATTAAGAGTAAGGTATAAACTACATATGAAGCAAGCAACCTTGCCAGGCTTGGTAGCGTAAGCCCATACCCAGAGAGGGGGCAAATTATCTGTTGAATGAATAAGTTGCTTCTGTGTTTTTCTTTTTTCTTTTTATAATGTATGTTATATGGACTATACATGCAGTTATGCCTGTCTATTGTGGTCGAAATAAAACAGATACCCTTGGAAATTGGGTGCACAACGGTGATCATTAATTTCATTATCAGTTTTATTTTCTGATTTAAGCTTATATATATAAATATTTGTATATAAACAGTTTTCATCATTGCAATACCTCCAGAAAGTAAGCAAAGCTACAAACAATATGCCCATCACAGCAGGGATAAACGGTTAATTAAGCCTAGAATAAATATTTCCTACTCACCCGCCCCGTACGTTTCTTCTAACTTTGTCGAAATAAATAATAAATTAATAAAGCAAAGTCAGTATTTCCATACCATAAATATATAGAATTTTAAATTAATTAATTACTTTAGCTATATAAATAAGTATGAAACATATTGTATATACAAATTAATCTGACCCGCATTCTTATATTCAACCTAAAATCTTGAGCTTTCTTGAGGGAGGAAGTTGCTCCGTGGGCCATTGTTGTTCAACAAGTTATGCACGATGTCGAGTTTGACAGAATGCTCCGTTGACGTATCAATTAAATTATTCCTTCAATTCTCCCCCATTAAAATCATTTAGTTCCACTCCGTACTGTTGCATTATATTACCCAGTTAAGGGACATTATCACATATTTATTTTTATCTTGTATACATAAAATATGATTAATGTATTGTGTTATGGATCTCATATCAGTACAAGATGATGAATTTTGAATATATAAATATAAAATTTTTATTACCAATCAAGTATGTCTTTTAAATAAAAAATATGAACTCGTAATTTATAGATTTATATTAAGTATCAAAGTAAATCCAGATTTTCATTTCACTAATGTGGGGTCTAAGTCATCAATGCAACAAGGGCGTTGCACAATTGCTTACGTCACTGATGTGGAGCCCTCATGTAACCTCTCTTCTAGGAAGTAAAAAGCTAGTGCAATGAAAATGTTATATAATTAAGTGGATAAAATGTCACGAATCCCTTATTAATAACAAATGAAATAAATCTTTGACATATAAACATGGACATGGGTTTTTCATCATCTATCAAGCATGTCTTTTAAATAATGAATATAAGCTTATGATTTATGTACTTGCTTAAATTTTATTTTCACAATTTAGAGTCGTACGAGGTTGGATTTAAATTTTAATCCATAACATATTGACTGAAAAATATATTAAAGAGATGATGAGTGGAGCTGAGCTACAAATGTTGAGAACTACCACCTCAGTTGTTTCCATTCAAGTCAATTTAAGGGCAACATTCGCTAGATCGTAATAAACTGTGAAACAATAGTAATAAATTAAGAATAAAAAGTTTTTAACATTATTAAATGAAATAATTAAGATATAATATTTTAAAAAAATTCTTAAATTATTTATAAAAAATTAAATAATATTTTTTATTACTTTCAATCAAATCTTTATATTTTTATTTTGAGTTAAACAAACTTTTATCACTAATAGTCAACTAACGATTATTAATGAAAATATCATGTGTTATTTTGTCATATGATATTAACGTGGTATATATTGTATGGCAAAATAACATGATTATGTGAATATTTTCACCCTTCACGTCAATTTCACATAAGCTTCATATGATTATAAAATAATAAATAATATTTTAAATAATGGTAATTAATTAACAATAGTTGTATAGGATCTATTTGATTTAAAATAAAAAATATAAAACTTGATTGAATATAATAAAATAATAAAAATTTATTTAATTTTTTAAAATTATTTAATTTTTTTAAAATATTATATCAATAATTAATTATTATTTTATACATCTAGGTGGAGTGCAAAGAGTTTCCAATAAAATGCACAAATTTTTACATATATAGTATAGCTAGGGATAATAAACTAATATAGTCCAATAGAAATCTAATATAAACAAATTGGGATAATTTTGTGCAAAATCGAAAGTGAAGTTTCAATCCTGTTTTTCTTTTCTTTTTCATTTGTTTTTTTGGCCGTATCAAATTATTCTGACTAGGTTTACAACCATACTATTGTATTCTATATCCTTAGAAGCTTGATTTTCACAAAGTACTAAAATGCAGAAACAATAAACATATTTCAACTTGATAGACATATTCAAAGTCGGTGGATCCAGCAGTTGGTTTCTTTTTGAAATACAATATGTTGACGGACCTAGGAGAAGCAAACCGGGTGCAATGAGAGTGTTTGAGAGGATGTGCTTAGGGCGGAGTAGTTGAGTCTAATACTGTTTAAGTTGTCGCCAGAAACAGTTTTTGTCTGTTTTCACTAAGGTTTGTTTTGTCAAATTGGTGAATATTAATCACTGATTCCCTATTCAAGGGTTACCATGCATACAGCGGGTTTTGGATGAATCTGGCGGGATCTCAGATTGAACTAGTCTATATATTGTTGAAGCTTTTTAACAAATTTGACAAATGGGATCGACTAGCTTCCCAGATGACATAAAGTATTATGTAAATATGTAAACCTTTTACCGAATACAGTCACTTTTTGCATTTAGTTTGGCAGAAGTGAATTTCACTACCATATGGTGGTACCGGAAGTGCCTGTGGGCAATAGTGCCTCCGGTAATGGATAGGGATGATCTAATTAGATGAAACTCTTTGAATTGTGTTGGCAGCTAGGTTTTTAAACGTGTGGACTATCCTCAACAAGACCCTGTTCTTGTATATATTGTTGGCTCGGCATCTTATATTTCCGTGGTGTGTGTGGATTTTGCTTTAGTTCATTGCTTTTTACTCTGTCAATTAGGACTTCCTTGATCCGTCTGGTTTTATGCCTGCGGAAATTTTCTAATTAATGAATGCATTCCCTCTCTGCAGGGCTGAATTAAAAGTAAACGGTAACCAAAGCTTCAAAGTTTACCAATAAAGAATGGTACTGTGAGTTTGAAAAGATTGCCAGTATACTGCCCTCATCGGACTTTCCACTAAAATTTAACGTGACTAACTCTCGGCCCCGTCATTAAAAAAGAAAAAAAGCTCTCAGCTGGGCCCTCCTGGACTCTATATAAGGGACTTTCTGCTTGGCATTGAGGAATCACACACTGCAGACAACACAAAACAATTGCAACAATGGCCGCTAAAACACCAGCCATCCCTGTTCTCGTTTCCCTACTAGTCCTTGCCCTGATTGAAGTCTCTCAAGCCGGTGGGATTTCCGTGTATTGGGGTCAAAACGGCTTTGAGACCACCTTAAACAAAACATGTGAGACTGGACTATACAAGTACGTCAACATAGCCTTCCTCAACAAATTTGGCAGTGGCCGGATTCCGGAACTCAACCTTGCTGGCCATTGCAACCCAAAGAATGGAGGTTGCAAAGTTGTTAGTATAGCCATAAGAAACTGCCAAAAGCAAGGGATCAAGGTGATGCTCTCCATTGGTGGCGGCCTAGGCCAGTACTCTCTGGCTTCTAAAGCCGACGCCAAGAAGGTAGCTGATTACTTATACAACAACTTCTTGGGTGGAACATCACCTTCCAGGCCACTAGGCAATGCTGTTTTAGATGGTATAGATTTCAACATAGAGCTTGGCTCAACAAAATATTGGGACGATCTTGCCCGATACCTAGCTGCGTACACCAAGCCAGGAAGAAAGGTTTACCTGTCGGCTGCTCCTCAATGTCCGTTCCCAGATAGATACTTGGGGGCTGCCCTTAATACGGGGCTTTTTGATTACGTTTGGGTTCAGTTCTATAACAACGCAGCCTGTCAATATGCTCCAGGTAACACAAGGAACCTTTTAAACTCATGGTATCGGTGGACTACATCCATTAAGGCAGGGAAGATATTTTTAGGGTTACCAGCAACCAAGGCAGCAGCATCAACAGGAACTGGGTACATTCCACCGTGGGAGCTAAAGTCTAAAATCCTTCCGCTGATCAAGAAATCACCCAAGTATGGTGGTGTCATGCTTTGGAATAGGTACTTTGATAAGATCGGTGGTTACAGCACCGTCATTAAGAACAGCGTATAGAACCAAGAAACTATGATTCGGATGCAACATTGCCTGGCTTAGCAACGTAAGCCTCATTGCTAAAAGTCGGGGCAAAAGATGGTAGATGAATTGAATAAGTTGCTTCCTCTTTTTCTTTTTTTCGTTTGTCCCCTTTTGTCGTTTGTCTTGCTGTGTCCAGACTACCTGGTAATAAAATAGACAATGTATTTATAAATTGGATGTCATCTGCCTAACTATCATTCCATGACTCTTTTCCGATTTACCTTAGTCATGTTGCAATAGATACTCCTAAAGACTTCTCAATATTCTGAAAGAACGTACCGAAAAGGATCTAGGAAAGTAAGAATGCAAACAAAAAGCTGCAATAAATAAGGCCCGTGACAACAAATATAGGAGACAACGGCCTAGAGCTAGCGTCTCAACTCGTCCTTTTTCTTCTTAAAAATGGGAAATCCTGAAAAAAATTATACAAGTATGGTTTTGGAGTTAGGAGAACCTTGAACCAAATGCTGATAAGGAGATGGAAACAGGCAAGCTAATGACTGCTCAAGACTGGATCAAACTGGGCGTATGATGTTTGAGCCCATATGAGGCTTTCCTTTAATTTCAATAGGACAGGCGCAAAGTAATCCCCAAATTCGCAATCCGCCCAAGGTCATTTTCCTAGCTCGAACCAGTTTGAGAAAACATAAATAAATCATCACATACCATTTACCAAGGTCCTTACCATTGGTTATAGTCTGATTTCTCTGGAAAAATCACATAAATTGATCTATGGATGCTTGAATATTACATCAAACTACTCTGTTGCTGGTGAACCAAAAACATGAAAATATTGGCAGGTGATCATCTTTCTTTGGACAAGGAAGAAGATCCAGCTCAATATAGCAGCCTAGCTCATATTTTATATTGAGACAATCTTGAATATAAAATTAGATTCGTCTAACCATCCCCACTCATACCAAGACTTAAATGCTTTCTTGTTGAAGGGGAAAAATCCAAAGGGCCACATAGAAACATATACTGGAAAATCTCAAGCAAACAAAAAACTGAGAATAAGAAGACATACACACATAGATACGATGCACGGCAAAAAAAAAATCCTATCAATCATGCGAGGGAAGCCCCCAAACATAACCGGAATACTCTTCTCATCGACTGTTTGAAACTAGTAGGGCACGAAGAAGATAACTCAGTCAAATGGGCAAATGGGCTCTCCATCTTTCTTCAGCCTCTACGCTTTGCGGACCTGAATATTGTGAGTGGAATGGAATCGCCAGATGGGCTGCCTGCCACTCTGAACAAGTGCCACCTCTTCTCCCTCCTTTACCATTCCTTGCTTCTGCACATCAGCAACCATATAACAAAACACAACATATCAATAATCAATTTTCTTTTTACAAGAAAACAGTGGAAGAAAAAACAATAAAACAGCATCAATTAGCAGTATGATCCAATGAACCAGACTCCACAAATGTAGCTACCAGTATTCTGAATATTAGGGCCCATGAAATGACTGATGAGAATAGTAAATATGTTGCTCTACAAAGTCATGCCCCTCACAGTTCATGTCATCAACTATCATGAAAAATCCCCGGTTTTGACACACACATTGCAAGCAAGAAAAATAGCAATTACATCAAATGAGCACAAAACTCTATTGAAGGTCAATCTCAGTGCAACCTAAAAATGAATCTAACCTTGGTTGAAGTTTTGACCCTAAAATCCCCAAGTAACAGGGGACCCCCATAAAAAGTAATACATGAAGGTTTTGAAATATTTACAACATATTAATTAATTCAACTTGATACCTCTAGAGAACCACTCAAACACTGGTGCAAAATAACCTTGAACCCACTGATGCATGAACAGTACATCTGTGATTACCAGTAAATTTAAAAGAATTTTCTTTATGAATTCTCTGGTGAAACCTTACCTGCAGCAAAGCCAAAGCATTCTTAAAGGTTTCCTCAGCATCATCTGAAAACTCCATGTATATGGGACACACTCCTTGGTACAAAGCCAATCTCTGTTGTATCCTTTTCCTGCATGACCATTGAAGTCATTGTTAGTCAAACTTTCATGATCACAAATCCCAATAATGATAGATCCTCTTTGGCCATACACAACTGCCCAGATATAGCACTTCCAAGTTCATAGATTCCATTATCATGCTACTTTTTGGGATTAATATTTCTTCATCAAGTCAAACCTTGTGCAGGACAGACAATTATTATGCCACAATACAAGACAAATCAGACAGAAAGCTAAAACTAGGCTCCTCACCCCCCCACCCCAACCTAAAAAAATAAAAGAAAAAACAAGTGCAGGAACCTTTAAATGGAGTAAACAAAATCAACTGTACAGTAACAAATTTAAGATTCAGGAACCTGTGAAACTCACTCATTTGTGAAGGCAAAAATGGTGCCAGATGGCCGATAATGGCTAAGTAATATAGCCATGAAACCAGTTCTAGTAAAGACAACAGTAGAAATTCCAAGAGTGTTTGACATCATTGTTGCATGATATGCAAACATCTCACTCATATGGTTCTACAGAGAACAAGTAACTCCGGTTAGCAGTCATAGTTGACAAACAAAAAGAATGCATTAAGAATGTTGACCAAGGCACAAAGAAAAAAGCATAGAGCATATGGAAAGCGAATGTGCATGTTAAGTGACCTTAAAAGCTTGACCAAGATTAGGTGGCATTTCTCCACCAGATATGGTTGCTTCGGTTCGTAATGCAACTGTATGCATAACTTTAACAGCTTTCAATGGGAACCTGCAAGAAAGTGAAATCTATTTACTAGAATGCACTTAGTAGAGTCGTTTGCACATAAAGCATCCATGCAATCAACCGCTCAATATTAAAGGTAAAGCAAGCCAGCGGATACTGTTTCTAATTATGCATCCCCTAGAAATTTGCTAAGTTGATTTTAAAGTAGATGACATACCCGTTTTCTTCTAATTTCACCAACAAGGATCCAAGTATCCATATAAACCTTCTAGATTACCTCAAGGGAAGTTTCTAAATTAAACAATTACTCCAATATAGATGACTATTCATAAGCATAAGACAAATTGTGAAATCCTCATCTAATTTTAAGTGAGAAATTAATAAAGGTGGCTTGCCATATAAGTAAAAAAGGGTGTGAAGAGGAAAAACTTGGAAACAAAAATCTAAAATGCCGTGTAATTAACTTATTAACTTACTTTCCATGAGCTGTTTCTCCAGAAAGCATGACAGCATCAGCACCCTCTCTAACAGCAATGGCAATGTCAGACACCTCTGCTCTTGTTGGCGTTGGATGAACTATCATGCTTTCTAGCATATTGGTTGCCACAATAACAGCTTTCCCCATGCTTCGACATGCTCTAATTATCTCTTCCTACATTTTAAACCAAGTAGAGTTATGAGTGGCTGAATAAACACAATTTCATTACTTTAGTTAGTAAGAAAATATGTTTGATAATTCATCTAAATCCATCCTCACTAATTAATCAAAAACTAAACCAACCTGCAAAAGAGGAACCTCCTCGATAGGAAGCTCTGCACCGAGATCTCCCCTTGCAACCATTGCCTAAAATAAAAAGAACAAACATTACTTTCTGAACGGCACATATGTTGCTAAAGCAGCAATAACTAGATAGACTTTCAAATCACAATATCTCCACCACCCTCCCCATCATGGCAGAGAAGATAGTTATTAGAAGTGACCGCTAAATTCACCAGATAGTTCTTAATATATGAAATGAAAAGCCTCGTTAAATATTTTGGCACCAAATTTCCTAAAAATTTGAAGAATTTATTTCTTCAGTAAAGATAGAACTCAAGTGTGAAATAGTAAGGAAAATTGACTATGACTTTATATGCATAAATAAGCCAAAAAATGTAGCTGCAAATTAAAGATCCGATTGAAAAGATTTAAGTAATCACCCCGTCAGATGCTGTTATAATTGAATGCAAATTTGGAATAGAGTCTGCACTTTCAATTTTAACAATAACATGAATATCTGCATTGCAACCTGCCAGAAGCAAAGGGAAGAAACATCAAAAGTGGAGAATTTAAGGTGTATACCAAGTCCACAGTTATTATTTCATTAAAAAAGTATAAGATACAAATCATAACTTACTCTGCAGATAATTTTTCAACTCATGAACCACTTGCGCATCCTTAACAAAGGAAACAGCATAAAAGTCAACTTTATTGTCTACTCCAAATTTTATGTCATCCCAGTCCTTTTCTGCAGAAAACCAATGGAAATAGTTAATCTCTAGCTCATCAAGATCCCTCAATACTTTGAGAGGGAGTGAGAGAAAAAGAAAGAAAGGAGGAGAAAGTGGAAAATCTACAAAACATTATAAATGACAAAAAATAAAATTAAAAGGACCAACCAGTGATAGAAGGCAGAGTGGCACTTTTTCCTCGGACATTTAAATGTCGCCTAGACTTAAGCTCACCACCATCAACTACTTCACACTTAACTGAATCATCTGTCTTAGACTTCACCATCAATGACATCATACCACCTACACCATGTATCAAAAGTCAGAGAAACATATAATCAACAAAGAAATAAATATCCCTGACAATTTTTCCAGCATTTTGTGTTCTTAATCTAGTTAAGACTGATTTAGAACACCAAAACTCTTGTTTGATAATGAAAGGAAACACATTAGCCTAGAAATGTAAAGATGATTATGTCCTACAAGGAACTTTTACTCAGCCAACCAGTTTACGTCAATTGAATCACAAACTTCCTGTATAATGCTAATGATTTCATTTGGACTTAGACACAGCCCAAACAGTATGAAGTGCATTCACATAGGAATAATTGCATTATTTTTTGAAAAGATCTCTTTCACTTCTTGAGTTTGTCCTTAGGCAGACATACTCCTAACAACAGCATCAGCACACCCCTAGCTAAATTATCAACGCAGGACAGATGAGGTGAAACAAACCTTTTAATTCATCTCTAGATCATTAATATCTTTCTTCAGCAAATGCTCTCGAAGAACAGATTACTTTTGCAGTCTTAGACTCTTGATAATTAAATCATTAGACTAAGAGCACATCATATATTTCAGAGTCAAGGGCAAAGTTGAGTATAAGTATAGAACTGAGCTCCATTTTACTTGAAAATTGTCATACGAGTTTGTATTCGTGCATGCTGCTGGTTTCAGTGGGAAAATAAAAAGGGCTAGTCAAGCCTAATACACAAGGAAGCATACATATTGAGACATATAAACAATTTTCTTTTAAGAAACCGGAGGTGGGAGGGGATGCACAAAAAACTAAAACTTCCATGAACTGTTGAAAATATCAAGGTAGCATACCATCAACAAGAAGCATGTCACCCACTTCTACATCATTAACAAAATCATCATAGTTGACACTGACACAATCAGCTGTCCCAACCCCTCTCCGAATTGTAAAAGTAAATTCCTGCCCAGTTGTTAATGTAATTGGTTGTGGCAAGTCACCACTTCTAACCTCAGGACCCTAATAAACAGAGACAAATCTATCATAAGAACAGAATAAATGAATATTAAAAAATAAAATGAAAATGATTAGAACTATGAGAATAAAATTACACAATATTAGTTATATTATTTTTGCCTATAACACTACGTCCAACCAATTATAAATCTGGATGAGTTCACAATAATAGAAACAATATATTTTACTGCCTTGTAAAATTATAAGATACTCAATTTAGTGGTTCATAACCTCACAAGGATAAGACAAAAAATACACACATACATGTAGATAGCTGCATTTATACCACAGCCTCTCTCATTTAACTACCTAAACCAGAAACTGACTAATATACTGCCACTTGTAAATGCTTGATAGGCTTAGTACATACCAGACCCAGTAATCAAAATCCAAGAAAAATCTTGGCAAGTGCTGATCAGAAGGATGTCATAGCTCATATAAGTTTATAATAAGTGCATTATGACAAAAAAGCTGACAATTATCTTGAAAGCAAAACGTTCATGCCATGTCTAACCCTCACAAAACCAAATTCATTGACTCAAGCACCCTGTCATGATGGCTTTACACAGGGAAAAATAAATGAAACTAAGGGAAACTTGCCTTTGTGTCAAGCATGATTGCTATAGTGTTGTCTTTGGATTGTGCATTATATTCTTTAACTAAATCAATAACTTTCTGATGAGATGCATGGTCTCCATGAGACATATTCAAACGAGCAACATTCATTCCAGCCTCCGCCAATTTCCATATCATTTCTCGTGTGTTGGTTGAAGGACCAATAGTGCAAACAATCTTCGTTTTACGTCTAACAATAGGCTTGGACCACATACCCACTGATGTATCGCCACCTTGCTGAATCCCCCTTAACTGCTCATATTGTTCCTCCCTCTGCAGAAAAAAATGGTAAGAAAAGTTACAAACAAAGACTTCCAACGAATTTCACTCCGCAACTGTCCACAGCAATTATTTTGATTATAGATATAATAGCAATCATAAATATGGTGACTACGGCATGCGACTGCAATGGCCTCATCCTATACCAGAGTAAATAACCACATAACTTGAATTTCAGTTAAACTAAGACGTGAAATCCAGACCTCATCTTTCTAACCAAAAAATTAAGTTTTTATAAACTTCAAGGCTCCTTTTCTTTTACTGAAAGAGGGGAAACGGTTAAATATCATGCCCCTATCATTCATCTTTAATGTTATGATTTTTAGATAATTTCTTTAGCGCAAAGACAACCCACAGAATACCAAACACTGGCTCGTAACAAGATCTCACAGGAAATTAAGTCCTAAATTTTTCTCACGACTTGATTTCTTGTTACTAAATACAATGGCGTCAGTAAAGCCATCTATACACGGTCGCTAACAGATTTTCCCTTTTTAGGAAAACAAAAAAAAAAATAAAACCAACATTTCTATATATGGATGGCGCAAGTTTCAATACTTCGATAATGAATTTTCAACAAATCATATTCAACTTGACTAAGGTCCATATTATCACTCCACTTACATAATTTCAGCCTATTGCTTTCTTAGCTCCTGAATAAACCCAAAAACATTAACTAAGATTAAGAAAAAAAAAAGTTGATTCATAATTTTCTTTTCGCATGCTTTGTCAGCAACCAAACACCTAAGAAGGACAATCAAAAAGCTTCCAAGTGGCTCAAACCTTCGGTACATCCTCGGGTGATACGGGGATAACTTCAGGTTCGGCACGTGCGGCTCTCTTAGCGGTAATCCGAGAGTTCCTCCTAAGCACAATTCTCTTGCTCTTGCTCTCGTCACGAGCCAGCACTTTCGAAGCGAAGCTTGCAGGTTTAAGCTTCTCCACTCGCTCTTGAACGGATCCGGAGCCCTGGCTCAAGAATGAACCGTGGATCGATCTGGTGGCCACCACTTGAGCCATTGCTAAAATGAGAGAAAGACAGAGAGTAAATGGAAGCGTCTAACGGGAGACGAAGGTGACCAAGGGTGAGGGAATTTTTTTTATTTTTAAGAAAGAAATGGAGGTTGGAGAAATCGCCGCTAAATTTGGCGCAAGCTGAAAACAAAGGCTGAAAGGAGGCAGGAGACTGAAGACAGCTTAGTTTGTATCGACAAGAGAACGATGGAGGCTTTTATTCATCTCCTTTTGCGCTAACTATTTCGTTCAAAACGGTTGGGAATTTGACAATTTGTTATTGTCAAGAAGCATGCGACGTCGTGCTGGAGTTGGATTGAACCCCATTGATACGACGTCGGTTTCTGGTCGCTTGTCGCTTGGCCATTGTAGATCCTGTTCCGAATTTCCGCATAGAATGATTGAAACATGATTTGGACGAAAAATCGAATTTTAATATTCCATTTTATTGATGATCTCTTTTGTTTTCCTTTGTAGAAAATTATTAAGTTAGAAGTTTTAAAATTAATAATAATAAATCATAACTGGTAAATGATGAAAACATAACTATAAATTCATGGAGGATTTTTACTATAAGAAAATTAATAAAAACAACTTTATTTTGTTTTAAAACCTATTAAGGCAGCTTAGGACAATGAACTTATGACCTTTTTTCTTTTTAATTAAATTAAATATGAGCATTATCATCCTCTTTTAAATTCATTCTACATGTAAGTATCGTTTAATAGTATATATATATATATATACACGTTCACACAATAATTTTTAATAATATATTAAAGTTTAATTTATCAAATTTATAATTGACATGTAATAAAGATCTACAAATACTATTTTTTAAAAAATAATTTAATTTATTGGATTTTTACTTTATTTTTTCCATTTGTACAAAAACAACCAACATTTACTTGGGCCCATAACATAAACTGATTTTACCAAAACAATCAACCGTCGTAGACTTATAGTGTGTGCTTGTAGACTGTAGCTTCACTCTTTGAACTTCTGCCGGGTCTCTTTGGTCACCAACCAAATAGGCTTATTCACTTCATCCAGATATTTGGATGGAAAATGTTTTTTTAGTTTGAAAATGTTAACATTAATTCGACTTTTATTAAAATTAATTAAAATATTAATCAACATGAGTTATGCATTAATTTATCCAAAGACACTTTCAATCTTATATTTATAATATTTTTATTTCTCAAACATATTATTATAATTGATAAATTTATTTATATCAACATCAACATGTATTAACAGTCAAAGTATCTGCCTCAGACATAATTTTTTTATTTTAAAAAGTATAATTCAAAATTTGTTCTCAAATTAAAATATATACAAAAAAAAGTGAAAACTTGTACAAATTTCACATCACGCAGGGTCATTTCTAAATATCATAACAGGGAAATACTCCCCTCTATTCCACACGAGGTTCACGACTTCCCTCTATACAAGATCCAACCCGTTGCCACTTAGGAGGAATCTACACGTCGCAACAACGTTAGGATCCTAGTACATGAGCTAAAAAGCGTGAATGTTTGGCTGTCCGTTCATCTCTCTCTCGCAGTCCTTTAGGCTCGTCAACGTGGCTATCTAACGCCTTTGCTGTCACAGGCTTACAGCCATAAGCCTGTGCACAGCCTTTGATATGCTAATCTAAAATTATTATTGTTATGTGAGTAGAAACTTTTCGTTGTTATTTAACATATTATTATTGTTATTATTATTATAAAAAACATAAAACTTTTATTATTCTTCTCTCTTTTCCAAAAAAAAGAGTACATCTGAAAATTTTAGTGGTAAGTAGCAGTAACTTTTATTGATCACTGGCTTCACTGACATTTCCACAAACACTTCGAGCCTGCTACAGTTTGCATGGCGGTAAAGGAGATCCACACAAACAGTCATTTCCCACAAATGAAGAAGCAGGAAATTTCGTCTGGGGAAGCTGGCCGCACAAATGATTATAACTCACGTTCAATTTTTCCAAACCAGTAATAGCCGCTGGAACCTTGCCATACACCAAATTTCGCGATATATCCAACTGTTTCAGTGTCGTAACAATTCTCAATTTCTCCAAATCAAACCGCAACTTATTCTCCGAGGCCTTAAATTCCACCAAGTAATCCGTCCGATTCAATAAATCAACAGGGCTACCTGATATTTCATTATCCGACAAGTCAATGAAGTCGTAAAAGTAAGTTTCTGCAGGCTTCCAACTGTCTAAGCTCATTTGAATCCCACACTTTGCTAGCTTGAGCGAATAAATTATTGGAGATGAAGTGACCCATTTCGGGATTTCTTTGAGATGGAACTTATTGTACGATAAATCCAGTGACTCTATACCTTTCACATTCATCTCCGGAAATGGGTCGGTTAGAACATTGTGAGAGAGGTCCAGATTGAAAATTTTAGTTAAGTTTACGAAGCTTTTGGGTACTACTCCCGAGAATAAATTCCATGAAAGATCTAGCGTGTCCAAAGCCTTGAAATTTCCAAGAAAACTTGGTAGTTGCCCTGAGAGAGCATTGTGGCCTAGCTCAAGATATAGCAATCTAGGTGCTAGAGATGATACTGAATCTGGGATTTTCCCGGAAAATGCGTTACGAGAAAGTATAAGACTTCTAAGATTGGTGAATGATTTGAACATATCTGGAATGGTGCCTGACAGCTTGTTTCGTTCCAAACTCAGAAAGGTAAGGTTCTTAAGCTGTTTGATTCCGGCAGGGAACTGGCCAGTGAGATGATTGTTACCAAGATTTAGCTGAGTTAACTGAGTCAACTCAGAGATTGAACTTGGTAGTGTTCCTGTGAACTGGTTCCCAGCTAAACTAAGTGCCTCAAGTTGGGTTAGCTTACCGATGTTCATAGGTATTTGACCCGAAAGCTTGTTGTTCTCAATGTAAACAAATTTGAGTTTGGGTAACCCGAAAATAAGATCCGGAAATTTACCCGAAATGTTTCTAAGATTTTGAAGGTAGATACCGTCTAGATTTTGGACTTTTAACAGGGACGGAGAGATTGTACCCGATAAGAAGCTGTTGGGTTTATCAAGTTGCCCGAAAAGAGAAATGCTGGTGACCCGATCGTTGAAAAGGCAATTTATACCCGCCCAAGTGCAACAATCCGTACCCGCTTTCCATGTGCTGAGCATGCCTGACGGGTCGTGGGTGATACCCGATTTGAAGCCTAAGAGACCCTTTTCATCATCCACGTGGCAGACTGCTGAGGTGATTTTGATATAAGGAACGGTCAGGATTAAGAGAAGGAAAGGAAAAGGGAGGTACCGCGAGAGAGCAAGCTCCATGCTTGGGTTGTTCTGGTAGAATGGAAATGGAAGGAAAGGGACTAAACGGTTGAGTGCTGAGTTTGCGAAGAGGAGGCCTTCTTATAGGGTCCAATGATGTGCATCTAAGGAACGAAATCGTAAGCAAAAGTTTGGCTTACCCATAAAAAAAGAGCAAAGGGGAGTGCGTAATGCAAATTACAAGTGCAATAAAGAGGTGCAGGACGTGGTGGGCTGGTTACTCAAGCAATGGCCACTTGTTGTGGTCAAGACTGTCGGCTAACGTTGCTGGTCAAAGTGTGGTACTTGAGCTCAGTCTGCGTTGTATGTCATCTGATCTGGCTAGGCTTATTCATTTCATGATTCAGTCCAATACATATCTATATATTGGATAGAGAACACGTCCCATCCACTGTTTGTTTACTGATAGGCTCTCCTTCCAATGTCTTCAGCTCTTTCTTCTCCTTCTTCTTCTTATTGTTTAAAATGTCTAAAAAGTGTTAAAAGTAATTGCAATTATATATCACCCTTAAGTTTTAATGTGAACCTCTACTCGTGAACCTTCATATTTTTGTCAAATTTGAAAGTATGTGAAATTGTATTGAAATATTACTAGCTTAATGTCTCATACTTTTTATTGTGTATGTTTTTAAACATAAATATTAAATTTATTACATATATTATTTATAAAATTTACCATAAAATGATAATAAATAAAATATCACACGAGATAAAATAATTTTCTTTTATATTTATTTACATAAGATAAATAAAAAATCATCTATTCCGATTTGTTGTTTTACAATCAATGGTTGAAAAACTAACAAAAAAATAAAAAAAAAAAAGAGTCCAAAACATTGTAGGTGTAACAAAAAATAGAGGGTTTTGTTGCTGGTTGTAAGCATGGCCAAATGATAGAATACCTCCTTTTAATTGTTAGCAAATGCTATATGAAATGCTTATTCAATGCAATTCATGTCAAAACAATAACTACTTACAAAAATATTCTTCATTAAGAATTTGTGTCTTCCAAATAAAAATAAATTCAAATCCAAATAGATTCTACAAAATCCAATTTTATTAATATAGGAGAAATTTCTATTTGATGATAATTTTTTAAAATTCTATGAGTAAATTTTAATAATTGATATGCATTATTGTAAATAGTTATGTGAATTTAGTAATGTCGTTAATTACAATTTAGTATATATGTATTAATTATTTGAACTTGTTTGTGGAATTTCATAATTTAAAATAATTCAATAAAAATATGGTGATTTTGGTGAATTTGGAGGATTATGTATCATTAAAATTTTAAAAAATATTAAGCTATTTTAAATTTACGACTTTACATATCTGTGCATTTCAATATTGAAGTCTTTATTTTACCCCCCAAAAAAAAAAGATGATTTAAACGAAGTAATCTACTCTATTTAATTGGCCTAATGGCTCATGACCAGAGATAGCTTGGGCTTTTTTGTCGAGTGGCTGTCGTTGTTCGTCCACCGATTGCATTCTTCCACGTCACTGTATGCGCTAGCCTCATTATATTCCCTGCTGCACCTGATCCGATCTCAACACACTTTCAAAAGCGCGGGAGAATTCGGATACCAATTGGCGCCACAAGAGCCCTAATTGGGCAATCCTCCAACAGTAACATTTGCCCTTTACTTCAACTATCTTCATCTTCCCATCTCTCTCTCAAAGTTCTTATTAGGTCTCATCATTATCCCAAGTTTTCCTCAGATCTGATTCCTCCATTGCCCAAAATCCTCTATCAGTTTCTTCCCAATCCCCCAAGTCAAAACCCTAGCTTCGTTAAGAGCAGAAAAAATGGACATGGAGGGTTTATCGGGGATCTGCGCCAGTCTCGGCATCCTCGAAGAAGATCAGACAACGAAACAGATCGTATACACAAAGGGCGAGCACTGTCTCGGTAGTCATTTTCCGTTATTGAAGTGATTTTTTGTTGAATTTATTTCCTTTTTTTATTCAGCGAATGAAAATTGGATTTGACTAATCTTGTTTCGAATAACTTACTGGCAGACGCTTTGAAAGATTTGCTGAGGTTTTTAAGACGGGACAATCCAGAAACGCGAGAAGTATTTAACCAAGTTTGCAGATGGAATATTGTTTCAAAAAACTTGATTCCAATTATAGAACATTGGCAACATGATCGGAATTTGGTGTTAAATGCAGGTAGATAAAGATTTGATGTTAGGCTTTTTTGTTCATTTAAAAAAAAAAAGTTGTTGCAAATGCTAAATTGGTGAGTTTTGATGTCGTTTTTGTTTCTTTTTTTTTTTTTAAATTTGCAGTGAAAGTTTTAGTTTTTCTTTCAATGCCTATCGAGCCTTCTTCCAGTGATATCCGTCAACAGATAGAGTATCTTTGGGACATAAAATTTTCTCTTACGAGCAGTGATGCTGTTGGAGTTATAGTTTCTCTACTTGAAGGTCCACTTGAAAATTTGGAATTGTAAGCAAGAAAATCCCTTCTTTTTTACTAATGCACCCTTTATCCGCATGGTTAAGGTGCAGGAAAAGGAAAAGAAATTTAAGTTTGTTTGAAAGCCAAACCTAAAATGTACATCAATTAAACCAAATAAATTAACTATTTACTGGAACCTTCAGAAATATAGATGTAGCTAAGCTTGTTAGATGCTGTGAAACAGTACGTTCATCATTTCAGTACACATAAAGCATTTGTGCCATTAGATTCTCTCTTATTCGTTGTATCCATATCAGTGTTAATGGCTAACCTTTCCATTGCAGTGAAGTATTCACGGAGGATGACTGGAAATTGGTCCAGCTGGTAGTCACCTTATTTCGCAACATTCTTGCCATCCAAGATTTTTCATTGCTACAAAATGCTGGCCAATTTTTATCGTTGAGAGATAGATTTCTTGAACTATTGTTCCGTGAGAATGTAATGGAGTTAATTATAGTTATAACTCAGCATATTGGTGGTTCTCGTGGCTATCTTCGTCAGGATAACTTGCTTCTATTAGAAACTTTCCATTACATATTCATGAATCAAGACCCAGAGTTACTTTCCAAAGCTCATTTGAAGGGTTCTAAGGTTTGTTTCACTTTATTCTCATCTAATTTCTTATAATTATTCAGTTGTTAATGCAATCCATATGCTTTTTTGTTTCTGATGAACTCTGATATGATAGGAGGGTGGAGATGCCAAGGCTTGCTTTGATGATCTCAAGTCCATCATGGAAGAGGAAGCAAAGAAAAGAAGGGTTTCAAGACTCCACCGTACCGGTCGTCATTCACAATTTAGTGGAACATTTACACGGCTTACTATGGTATGTAGTATCAATGTCATTGATGTTGTTGATACTTAAGGAGTTGCATCAAGAACTTTAATAACTAATCATGTTTTGTCTGTCAGGATGGTTCTACAGCAGTGTACAAGGGAAACCCTGATACTGCTTCTCAAAATGCTCTGCTTAAATCTCATAAAGGCCATGGGATTTCAACTCAAAAAATTGTGAGGGGTCATGGACTATTACCTTCAACTAGGAATAATATTCTGGAACTGCTTCATGATTTTGTGAACCAGTTTCTTTCAGGAGGCTACAACGGTATACTCTTTGGAATGTAAATGCCAGCTTGTTTTTATGTCATCCTACCCCGACCCTTCTCTTTTCTTTTTCTTTCTTTCCCTTATTCTCTGTCTTTCTGCTAATACTCAAATGCAAACTGAATGCATGTCAGTATTGATGAAATCTATTCGTGAGGATATTGAGAAGGAACATCATGCTATTCAGAAGGGTGACATCATTGTCTTCTTTAAGGTTGCTGAGTTTGTTACTTCTTTTCAATATCACAAGTTTTTGACCTCTAAAGTGAGTTATACTCTAATTCCTACTTGTTTTCTCGTAGACACCCTACACTCACAAACACAAAATTGTTGTAATGCTAGAAGCATGTTCTTATCTGTGAAGTTTATTTTGCATATGGTCATTATATTATCGATGCCTGGAGCTTTAAACTCATCGTTATCTAAACTTTTAGTTGTGTATTGTTGCATGCATCTATTAAAAAGTTGCACTTAAATCTATAAGTATTGGAATGTGTAGGAATCTCTAGAAACCACCTTCCATACTTCTTAAATTGTGTCATATTGGAAGGATTTGACAGTAGAATATTATAGTTTAGCCTTTTCAGCTTGGGATTCACGCTTAAGATTTGATTTAGCGATGATTTCAAATTGAGGTATGTTGCAAATGGCACATAAACTCTCTTGTTAATTCTCCACTCCAAACAAGGTAAACAAGAGTTGTTTCTTCTACTATCCTCACCTTCCCTCCCATTTACCCTACCTTCTTTTCCCTTCAATTTCCAAACATACTGTTTAAGATTTGAGTTTTAGATAAGCAGCAATGCTAGAGAATAATGGTTTTTTTTGTTTCTTTTTCTTTGTTTTTTTGGTAAACTACTGACTAGGGAGTTTGCTAAATTGGATGCTTTCAAGTGCATTTTCATGGTTAGAGAAGGTTCAAGTGTGATAAAGTAAAAAGAAAATGATGCAAACGATTCACTAGACTTTAAAGGTCCTTCTTGTTTGCAAGATTTTGACCTTAGTTTGAGACCCACGTAAAGAGGAAAACTGATTCTCTTTTCAGGTTATGTTAAGTTCTTGTTAATGGTTGGTCAGTGGGGTTGTGTCCAAAAAGGACACAACTAACTATCAATAAATGGTGCAAAAAAAGACTACCTTGCCCTTGAAATATACATGTAAAGATTCAGTTCTTGATGACCACTTTTGATGGTTTATGTTTTATATGTATTGGCCCATACTTGGTGTTGAACTTGCTTAAACGTCCTGGAACATGTTATGCGTGGTCTCCTTATGAAACTTTAATATTGGTTATGTTGTAGCTTTTTGTGTGTAAAGAAGTAAAGTTCTGGTTGGAAGCTTTTTATTCAAATGTTGAAATTGTATACTGTTGTTCAGATCTAAAGCCTTTTAGTCGTTGTTCTTTTAGTTTCATTACTTCATTGGTAGTTTGATATGTTCCTTATTAAAAGTTAATGGCTTTATTTGAATAATCAGTTTTTGTTTAATTAATGTTTGCATCACTTATTGGTGCCTTTATCAGCCAACTGTTGAAAATCCTACACCTGAAGTTTCTGCTGATAAATGTGCTGATAGCACATTTTTCAAAGGTGACATATGTGGACCGATTGCAGCATCAATGAATGAATCAATGTTCCAACTTGTGATTTCAAGATGGCGTAATGCATTTGAAGGCTTGAAGGAAACTAATGATTACAAGTTTCTATCCGCAGCAAGTTCTCTTATGAAAAATATGGTGATATATCTATAATATCTTTTATATCTATACTTTCATATACTTGCTTTGCCAAGTTTGTTTATTATCTTCATCGGATGTTGTTTACATAACTTAGCCTTAATGTCTTGCTCCTGTGCACTTGCAAGCTAAGATACATAGATAAATGCTTTGGCTATCTACTATGCCCAAAACACTTTACATGTTAACTTATAATAATATTGCTTGAGAAGAAACTTTCTTTTTATGTATCAATAAAAATGGGCACTACAAACTTTCAGTTACGGACAATTTTTTTATGAGAATGAGGTTAAGTCACCTGTTAATATTCAAAATTGAGAAAGCATACTAACTTACTCTTTTGAAAAGCTTCCACTTGGTTGTGTGCACTGATCTGCTTACATGCTACCCCTATTAAATGGAGTTTTTTCCCTCTTATTCTCTATTTTGTTCCCTGAATGCAGATCCGTATGTTGGATTTAATGCTTAGCTTATTTCCAGAGGATTCTAAGGAGCCTCGGACAGCTCGTATCCTTCTTTACAAGCTATTTTATGATCAGACTGACCAAGGGATGACCCAGTTCCTTCTAAGTCTAATCAAAGTGTTCAACTCTCGCAAGCAACCCAAAAGGTTTTCTCTCTATCTCAGAGATCCTACTGATCATATTAACAGCTGTGTTGAAATCACTTCCAGTAACCTTGGTTTTCATTTTTTAAACGTGTTTCCAATTATTTGCTTGTATACTTGCTTTTGAGAAAGACAACAATCATCTTACATAAAAGGATTGTTTTTCCCCCTCACCCCTTATTTTCATTTTACAGATTTTATATGCATTTATGTACTCCTGCATATTCATAGAGTGATTAGTTGACAACTATACGTTCTATCCATGTGCATTGCTATGATCTGTTAATTCTTTTACTTTTTCATTTTATTCACCTATAAGTCTTTATTAGGCTTTTATAATCTTTCGAGGACAGTTTAAAAAAGAAATAACAGTGACCACCAGCTAAAGCTTTTGATATAGGCATGAAGGAACCTTTTTAATTTGCATAAATGATTTTGTTGCTTTGTCTATATAGAAAAATGATTGTTTTACTTGGTTGCTTGAATGTCTTGCTACTGGTGCTATTTTATTTTATTTTTATCAGTGATCTTGCAGATTTGGTAGAAATGATGCATTTAATTATCCAGCTCATGGAGAATCTTCAAGCACGTGGCTCATTAAGGGTATGTTAAGCTTTAATTTTTAGATGGGGAAATTAATACACTGTGTAAGTTGTAACATAGCAGATGTGTGAAAGCCTTGGTTCCATGACCTGCTTGGGCACATGGAAAAGTCACTATTGTAACAGATCCAATTATTGTCAACCAATTTGCTAAAATTGACTTCAGTTGTCAACGAAGAAAAGTGTAAATTGGAAATGCTGTGAACTTCCTTTTATATAAGTTGAATTTTGGTAGCTTAAAGTGGTTATCTGCTATACATGACCTTATGGATTAATGGTCTTTAATTATTTTGTGAGTGCTGAGCTAGTGGGTTATATCATATGTCTCACTCAATAGTAGTCTTACTTTTAAGACTCTATTAACAAAGTACTGTATCTTTAGTATGAAATTTGTCTCTGTGGAACCGTTGTTTCATTTTTCTTTTTCCTTTTACAGTTAAATTCTGCAAAAAAGAAGTCCTTTAATTTTATTATGGAATCTTCCTCCACTTCTCTTCCTATCTGCATGCCCCTTTTTTTGTGTAAGATCCTGCTCTGTTGACTTTTAGGGTCAATACACTTGCATCATGCTTTGCTGGCTATGGATTTCTAGTTTTACTTTGCATCCATCTTGAAGAGCTTTTATTATTTTCTTGCTTTTCTGCTGTAATATATACTGAAATGTAAATTTCGTTATTAAGGTTTCTAAAAAATCAAGGAAGGGGAGGAAGAAGAAAGCAGTTAGTGACAATCTTACCGAAAGTGAACTGTTTGAAGACCATGCTGCTGCACCAGATAGGGTTGGGACCTCAGTTTGTGACCAGTCAGCAGCATTTGTCTCAGAAAAAGAGAGCCCATTCAAGGGAATATCTGATCGGAAAGAAGATACTAGCACCCCTTTCTTGGTTGATGAGCTAGAAAAATCTGAGACAAAGATGGAATGTCCTGGAGATCTGCCACAGGTTGATAATAATACACCTGGTCATGCTGATGATGATCTTTGTTGCACCACTGATGGTTCTTCTGGTGATGAACAGCCAGCCACTGTTAATGAAGTTGATTTTAAAGTGTCTACTCTCACTTCAGCTTTTGCAAACTGCAGCATTATTCAAAATTTGTGCTGGTTGCTAAAGTTTTATAGGAGCAATTCCATTAATACAAATCACTACATTTTAGGCATTTTGCGGAAGATCACTGATGACCTCGAGCTTGCTCCCATGCTTTATCAGGTCAAAACTTGGAAATGCATTTTTCATAGAGAATACAGAGAATTTTAGTATGAAAATCTAACATATGTTTCGTTTTGTACAAAATTTTGCAGTTGTCACTCCTCACTACATTTTATGACATCCTGGAAGAGCAGAAGTCATGTCCAAGTGAGGAGCATGCAGATATTGTTGGTTTTATTTCGGGTTTGGTTAGAAACATGCTAAAAAAATTGAAGAACCAGCCCCTTCTTTTTATTGAAATTCTCTTCTGGAAGACACGGAGAGAATGTCATTACATTAATGCTGAATATTTATTGCATGAGCTGGGCCATTGGAAGAAAGGAAGTAAAACTCAAGGGAGTGTTCTTGGAAATGGTGAAATTGGGTCCTCAGAGGCCGGTGGATGGGTTGGCAGAAGCATAGCAGATGCACTGGGTGAGGATGAAGCTGATGTTATGATCTCTCATGAGCTAGGACATCTGAAGTAAGAGATGCTTGCAATTTAATGCATTTGATTTACATATTTCAGCTTACCAGTGGTAGAGTCACACATTCCACTAGGATTTGGTATCAACTTGTTTTAAGGCTTTAGGTTATTTTGTGTGGTATGACCCTATCTAACATAGCTTTGTCATATTTTTTTCTTAAAATTATTATTTTATAAGGATACTACGATATTTCAATTATCCTAAAAAATGGTGCATCAAAATGCTATTATTTTTGGAAAATGAAGGGTATGGCATCTCATCAAACAGTAAGATTCTGATTTGTCTGACATTAGTGTTATTAACCTTCAAGCTTTGTAAAAACATTGGATATATTTTCTGAATTAAGATGGTTGATTGAAACTGCTTCATTAGTGAATCTGGCTGGTGCAGTGGGGAAAATTCCTTGGAAAATAAAACTGGAGAGATTAATGAAAGAAAGAGAAGGCTTGTTCTCAATGATGACATGGAGACAAAAGTCAAGGAACTTTATGAGAAGTAAGTTTGTTTTTATCCAGTGGTCTGTCTCACAAGCATTTTTCACTTAGATCTTTCTTTCTTTTCAAAACTATGATACATCTAGTTGCCAAACGTTAAAAACAACAGCATGTGATCTTGGATGATCAGTGGTACTCACCATGGTGAATGATTAATGTTTGCTCTTGGCTATCTTAGTATGAGTTATTGTATTGCTTCGGAAGTTTCTGGAATTAATTTGCACTTTATCTGATTTGGAAATACGCTGTTGCAGGTTCAAAGATCATCCGAACTGTATCCGTCTTATTGCGGAATCCCTAGGTCCTGATGGTGGAATTTTGCCTGCTCAAGTTTCTAACAAGCTTAAACAGCTAGGACTTAAAGTTGCACCAAAGAAAAGGATATGGGGTTCTGATCAACAGGGGGATAAAAGCACTCTTCACGATTCAAATGATTTAGAGGGAAGTTCACAAAGGCAACCTTTGTAAGTATTTGTCTGTTATCTGTTATCTATACTCCTTGTTGTAGCTAACATACTCTTTTAAGAGTTTCAATGGAACAACTTTTAATGCAACAGGCATTGCACTCTTGAAGTTGTAGCTTTGACCATGCAAGGCATGACAGAAAGCATTTCCTTATGGCATGAATCTTACTTAAACAAGTTGCTGTATTGATGTGCGAATTAATGTGCTATTATTCTCAACAGGAACACCAGAAAAAGAGTGCGTGCCTTTAGCAAGGATCAGGAGGCAATGATTAAAGATTTGTTTGAGCAGTGAGTGTCAATTTCTAGTATTCTTCCTCCTTTCTTGTTTTCAGTTGAGTAAATTAATTTGTTATGGTATGGTATTGATTTTAATTTCCAACCCCTAGAATTGATTTTAATGTTGCAAAAAGAAAGAGAATTTATGGGCTTCTTAAGAAGGACTAACATTTAATACTATTGATTGTCTGTATTACATTCATCATAAGGAAATAGTAATTTGGTCTTCTATGCAGGTATAAAGACCATAGGAGGTGTAGTTACATGATTGCAAATGCCCTGGATGCTGATAATATGTTTACTGCTGCCCAAGTTTCACGCAAACTCAAGCAACTTGGTTTACATGTTCCTCGGCAGAAAAGGTCTGAAGATAACATGCATTTGAGGGATGAGGAACTAAATGACTTATCTGCAGATGAAACATGTGATTCCGACAATGAGACATTGCTGTCATTTAGGAACAGGTAGCTATGCACTTATCTATTTATTAGTTATCTGGATTTCTTGAGCATTAATTTGTTAAATTTCCATGGTTCCATTGTGTTATGACAATCTTTCAAATTCCTATTATTATGCTTTCAATGTTCTCTCCCCAATGTTGTGGTTTGGAGCTACCAAGAGTTGAACGGGACATTATTTGTTTGTTAGCAATGGTTTATCTTCTGCATTATAAACTCAGCATTACCTGTTCATACAAAAATTTGGGTTGGATACAACATTTCCAGTTTAATATTATTTCTGGTGCTGTTAGACACTTAGACGGATTTTTTGGTTGCTGCTACCGCTAGTACATAATAGCTGTCTTTATGCCAAAGATTCTTTTATATGAAAACTTAACCAGGGCAATTCCATCAAACTGAAAACGGATTTCAAAAGTGAATATGAATTTTTTTTTATTGTGTATGCTTTGGGATTAAATATTATTACTTCTCTCCTGGTATTATATTGAAAGAAACCGTTTGATGTTATGAAGTCATAGAACAGTTACAAGACAGTTATTAACATTTATTTCCACTTTCAAACTTCTGGGGAGCAGAAACAAGGATAAGGATAGATTGTTCAGTCAAGAGTTTCCAGCACAGAATGTGGAAGGAAGAATATCAGATGATACTGATGATGAAACCTTAAGCTCTGTTCTCAAGTAACTCTTCCTCAGTCTCTCACAAACTCTCACACATGCACACTCGCACTCATTCATGCATACAGGCATGTTCAGGCAGAGACAGAAGTTAAAAGGAAAGTAATATAGAATTCTAGACCTTGATTATGTAATAATTTGGAACTTTGGGTTTCTCTCTTGCTAACATTGCTTATCAATGAAACTTGTTTTCATGCAAACAGTGCTTCTAAAGTAAGCATATGACCATTCTGTACAAAATGTAATAGGCATGGAAAAGAAGCAAATACTCATGTTGTTTGCTCTCTCTTGCATTTTCAAGTCAATGTATGTTTTCTCATGAATTGCACATAAGCATGTTCATTACTTACTAAGAAACGCTATAGATTTCAAGATCCTTACTCTTGTTTTCTCAATAATTTTATCTTTTAATCATAGGAAAACTAGGAAGCTACCTTTGAAGTCAAAGAATGAGAAGCTTGCAACAATAACTACAAGGAAGAGGATAGACAAAATATCAGAAGTTGTAGTCACAAATGATTTGACCGAAAAGTAAGCCATTCAGCTTATTGAGAATGCATCCTTAAAATTGCAACTTACTCTCCTGTATTATTATAGGGTTTTCCATAAGTGAAAACCTTTTCTTGCTACTTAACATGTGTGCAAATACGGAAGAAATATTAATAGGGCTCTGCTTTTGTTGATGTCCCTATTTGGGCAGCTTCATCTGTGTTGCATGAACTGATCTAAAGTAGAGTTTAATATTTCTTCTTTTTACACTTAGCGATGGAAGCAACCAGTTCAGTGAGATTGATGTCATATCTCACCAAGAGAGCAGGGACACTGTAAATCTATCACGTGTTTCACCTGAGAACATTGAGGGTGAGTTGGCACATCAGCAAGCAGAAGATGAGTTGGCTGACTCAGGGGATGATGTAGTGTCTGGTTCATTTGTAGAAAGTACCATAAATAGAAGGAAACTGAGGATGGTAATTGATCCTGAAGATGATGACTAGATTGAAGCATATTCAGGTTTTGTCTCCCTTTCTCTATATTGTTTTGCCATTCTACTTTGTTGTCATAATCATTAGATTAATCCTGTTCAAATCTATAGCTTTAAGATCTCAGAGAGTTTGCTAATGCAGTCTGGTTATCATGGCTTGTCTACTAATGTTTACATTCAGATTTGTTGATCTCCTTGTCCAAATATAACATCTTAGTTCTCCTGCTTGTTTAGTAGAACATGATAGAAATACGCTTGATCTGTAATAGCTTTCTCATCTTTAGGATACCTGGACTTTTGCTCCTTCAATCTTAGGAAGCTCCTTAAATTCTAAAAAATGTTTATATGCCTATTCTGGTGCAACTTCTTCATGCTATGATATTTCTGATCTTTTGTTTTTACTTAAAACATGTGTGGTGGCTGTTAACAAGTCAGATATACTCCACTTGTTTCTTTTTTTCCCTTCTTTCTTTTACGCCCTTTACTGATCTTTGTGTTTTACCTATGTTGCTAGGGGCTGCTCAACATCTGCCGTTGTACATGGCCATTCTTTTGGCTGGTAAATTGGAACATGTTAGGTGCTCTAAAGCCTAGCCTAGTGTTTAAGATGTACGAAATATTTCTGTGGCTTATAATTGGGAGGATTGGGTACTCTCTAACGGCTGCATGTACTAAGCGGGGGATGGCTGATGTATAGAACTTGATTATTTTTTGGAAGGCATTTTTGTATATAGGAAAGGCATTCTGAATGTCTCCTTCTCAATGATGCTGGTCCACCGTTGCCTTGGCAGTGTCATTTGATAGTTTCTACTTTCTAAAGCTTAAAACAAGTTTTTCAACTACACCCTTTGGACCTGACTGGCAACTTGATTAGGACCTTATGAAAATTAACTGAAAGTTAAGAGTTTTCAGTAGGTTTTGAGATTTATCATGCATGGACAAAACTCAAGTGACCCCTTTCTTTTTATGCCAATGGAAAAAAGAAGAAGAAATTGCTTATTAAGTGACGATTAAGACCAAAATCAAGAGAAAAAGCCCAAGGATGTCTGGTTTTATATTAGTTCTTGGTTTAGGATCAGAGTAAACCATCTATGCATTATAGTGAGTAAATCCTAATTGTTTTTGTAATTAAAAACTTGGGAAAGAAAGAAAAGGAAGAGTAAATATTAACGTCCCCTGGGACCCGGGCTCACTCCGAGGTGGATCATGGATGCGGAGGCGACTTGGTCGAAGCTTCCATCATATGCTATTGCATGCTATGGGCTGCTGCTTACTATAAGCTAAAAGATTGATTTGAGATAACTATCAAAGAATCAAAAAGAAAAGTAAAAGCAATTTGCTTACAGGATACTCTTGAATAAGAGCAAGCAATGACTACGACTAGTTTCTTCAAGCATATGACCAAAATGTTCCAGATGGCCATCAAATTATAATGCACGTCATTATGCGTTGCTACTGACCGAATGATATATGTTAATTAACTATTATAGTTTTCTTGTAATCAATATATATATATATATATATATATAAGTTTTCGTTTGTTTTTTAAGTTTTAGAACATCAAATGGTCAACACGCAACTGTCTTACGTCGTTGTTAATAATAATTATCAATCACACCCGTAACAAGGTTGACTTACAGGCTATCCGGAATATTACAAAATCTTGAGAATGCTACACCATGAAACGACAAAAGTATCATCCAACTGACTGGCTAAATTTAAAATATGTTCTTGACATTCACTTGTGTAACCTTGTGATTGGTGTTGCTATAAAATGTATTGTTTTCTTCCTAGGAAATTGCAAAGCAAGCTTGATTGCAGCTTGATTAAAACCGACCTTGCCTGAGCCCCTGAGCTCTAATTTCTGAAAACTACACAATTCTCGCACTTTATCATCGTGAGAATGTCACTTGTCTGGTCCCTTCTCCTTTCAACTCTGTTTATTGGGTTTCTGCTCGAAGAGCATCTCACACTCGGGTCCAGTTTATTGGTAGGGGAAGTTGACGTTACAAGGTGCAGAGAGAATGAGAGACATGCGCTCCTAATCTTCAGACGACGCCTGGTGGATGACTCCGGTATTCTCTCTTCATGGGGAAATGGAGATGACAGGAAAGATTGCTGCAAATGGAAAGGGGTTGTTTGCAGCAACCGAACTGGTCATGTTCTCATGCTGAATCTTCAACCTACAGATGGATATCTAGGAGGTACGATTAGTCCTTCATTGCTTGACTTGTCCCATTTGAATTACCTGGATCTTAGTTTCAATAATTTTAATGGAAGCAACATTCCTGAGTTCATTGGTTCTCTCAGAAACTTGAGATACCTTGGTCTTTCTCATGCTGGTTTCAGAGGACCACTTCCTTATCAGCTTGGAAACCTTTCCAGGCTGCTATCACTTGACCTCAGTGGAAATGATTTGTACAGTAGCAGAAATCTTGACTGGCTTTCTCATCTGTCTTCTTTGAAAAACCTTGACCTCAGTTTCAGTAACCTTAGTAAGGCCAATGATTGGGTTCAGGTAGTCAACAAACTTCCTTTCCTTGAAAGCTGGAGTTTGCAATCTTGTAATCTTCCAAATATCATTTCCCCATCACTTTCTCTTGTCAATTCCTCTACAGCTCTCACCAGTCTCGAACCTTTTGGTAACAATCTCACTTCTCCCGTAATATACCCATGGTTGTTCAATGTTAGTAGCAACCTTGTTCATCTTGATCTCTCATTGAACCAGTTGAAAGGTTCAATTCCAGAAGCTTTTGGAAACATGAATGCTCTCAAACAACTCAGCCTCTTCAGCAATCAGCTTGAAGGCGGGATTCCTAAATCTTTCTGGGATATGTGTAGTTTAGAATCACTACTTCTCCATCATAACAGTCTTAGCGGAGACTTCACTGAATATACACAAAACCTATCTGGATGCACAGAGCATTCACTGAAGATTTTGGTTTTAGATAATAATCAAATCACAGGGTCAATACCTGATCAAATGGCAAGATTCTCATCATTAACAGACTTATCACTTGGAAACAACCGTTTAAATGGGACCATAAGTGAAGGCATTGGTCACCTTTCTGAGCTTGAGATTTTGGACCTTCATGGGAATTCTCTCAAAGGTGTGATCTTGGAAACCCATTTCTCAAATCTCTCTAGCTTGCAGACCTTGGACTTATCTTACAACTCTTTTTCTTTGGAATTCAGCAACAATTGGGTTCCTCTTTTCCGACTGAGTTTCATTCGTCTTGGTTCTTGCAAGTCAGGGCGTCGTTTCCCAAAATGGATTCAGTCTCAAAATAATTTTGCTGAGCTGGACATTTCGGCTGCCCAAATTTCAGATACCATTCCCCTCTGGTTCTGGGACCTATCACCTTCGTTACGTTACTTGAATCTCTCTTACAACCAGATCAGTGGTGTTCTTCCAGATTTGTCATTAAAGTTTGTTGGTTTCCCAGGGCTAGATTTAAGGTCTAATCTTTTAGAGGGTCCATTGCCACTATGCCCTTCTAAATTAACGTCCTTGAATCTTTCCAAAAATAGGTTCTCGGGATCAATTTCCTCTCTCTGCAGAATTACAGGTGAGGCTTTGCAATTTCTGGACCTCTCAGAAAACCTATTATCTGGAACGATACCCAATTGTTTTCAGCAATGGCCGAATCTACAGGTCTTGAACTTGGCTAACAACAACTTTTCAGGCCGACTTCCAAGCTCCATTGGATCTCTAGTTTCACTTGTAATGTTCAATTTGCATAACAACAGCTTCTCTGGGGAATTGCCTTCCTCGTTAAATAATTGTACAGAGTTGAAATTCATGGATCTAAGTGGTAACAGATTATCTGGAGAAATACCAGCATGGATGGGACAGAGCCTAACGTCATTGGTTTTTCTAAGCCTCCAGGCCAATAAATTCAATGGAAGCATCCCCTACCATCTTTGTCAATTGGCAAGTATTCAAATCCTGGACCTCTCTCGAAACAAACTCTCCGGTACTATTCCAGAATGCATCAATAGTTTTACTTCCATGGCTCATAAGGGAAATTTAAGTACCACGATTCAGCAAAATTATGTATATGGTGATCCTCAGTTTGGAGATATAGGACCCTATATTGACAAAGCATTGCTTGTGTGGAAAGGAAAGGAGTACGAGTACACAAAAAATCTTGGATTGTTAATAGTCATTGATCTCTCTAGTAATAAACTCTCCGGACAGATTCCAGGAGAAATAGCAAGTCTTTCAGGTTTGGTCGCATTGAACTTATCATGGAACATCTTGACAGGTGAGATCCCTCAAAAGATTGGTCAGTTGAGAGAGTTAGAAGTCCTAGATTTGTCTAGAAACCGACTTTCAGGTGAAATTCCAACTACCATGGCAGAGTTGACATTTCTGAGTCACTTGGACCTGTCTCACAATAATTTGTCAGGGAAAATTCCATTGAGCACTCAATTACAAAACTTTGATGCCTCAGCATTTGCCAATAATCTTGCACTATGTGGACCTCCAGTTTCGTCGAGTTGCCCAGCAGCTGAAACACAACAACTTCTACCAAGAAACATTAATCAAGAAGATGAAGATGAGTTAGGAAAATGGTTTTTGGCTGGCATGGGAGTTGGATTTGTAGTAAGTTTTGGGGGACTCTGCAGTGCTTTACTGTTAAAGCATTCGTGGAGACTTGCGTATTTCCATTTATTGGACAACTTGATGGACTGGCTTAACGTTAGACTTGGAGCGCAAAAGCCAAGATCAAAGAGGAAAATACAAAGCTAGCAGCTACCTAAACGCTCTTCCAATAATGTCAGCAAGGTGAAAATGTTTATGAAAGTCCCTTCTCGTTTGTGTTCTTTTCTGTTTTTTCCTCCTCTTACGAAAACTCTTCTGTTGTCCGGTGTTAAATGCGTCCGTTAACCTTATTTAATATCAAATGAATAAGGTTTTCTTTTACTATTATCTAATATCAAATCTTTATTTATATTCATGTAACCATGTATACGGTCGCCAATCACTTGATGGATAATCTTATTTTCCAGCCTTTTCCATAGATGAAAGAAAGAAGAAGAAAAAACCTGAAGGAATGAAGAGAGTCAAGATCGCAGTTGCATCATACTCTTGAAGTCTTCATCTCTTTGGCTTTTCGTAAATCATCGTAAAATCTTCGAACTAGGTAGTGCCATTTTCCACACGGTACATGAATAAAGTTTCTTCAAGAGTAACGTGGCTAAATTTCGAGTGATGGCCTTGGTATTTGACTGTTAACATACCTGCGTGTGTGTGAGAGAGAGAGAGAGAGCAAACTCTACAACAACGAATGACAAATACATTATGGTACAAACAATTCAATGAATTACATATCATGACTCATGATATCACCTCTTCGGCACACATGCTCAAACAACTATGCAATTATGGAAAACATTTTTGACATTTCCTCAACTCTAATCCTATAGCAATAGCCATCACTTCATTTACGTGAAGCCGGCAACCCATGGAGAAAGAGATATCAGAAATGAACCGTCCTCACAATATGGAAGTTACTCGAACTGAGTTATCAGCTGATCCAGTCAAGAAAATGGGCAAGGTTGGGTGCCAATCCACAGTTGTTATAGCTGCACTGTGAAGAAGAGTTCTCAACCCATTTGAATGGCCTCGTACCTGATCCATCATTAAATATGAGAAAAATAAATTGTTGAAGCACTGCCAGCGTTAAGGAACTAACAAAGTGGGGCATGTCAGAATCACTGGAATGGTTATTTTGGCACTAGCTAATGATTTGGTCCATCACACAGGACCAATATCTCCACAAGTAAACCACAATTAACCAAGGACATAAAGCAAGGACTAATTGCAGCTTTGTGCACGCATGCTTGCCTGAGGGGATTAGTATACAAGTGTAATTATGTTAGCCCACACATGCCAAAGATTTACCTGATATATGGGTGCTCTTACAGAACCAGATGTCACTAATAGCTGCCTCCCATTAGCATCCAATGCCATTTCATGTCTACAATATTTTGATGTCCCGTGGTCTGAAAACCTACAAAGTGTAATAACCCATGTTACTAAAGTCTGCTCCATTAACTCATGCAAACACATAGAAGATGGAACCATAACCAATGCATTCAATGAAGATAACAGGTTTTTCAAGGCAATAAAAATGTTAAATGCACAAGCAAAAGGAGCCTCCCATTGCATGACTATAGGGGTCTCTAACTACTGAGGAAGCAACATAAATAGAAGCCTGAACAAATGGCCAAGGAGAATGGACATTGCCTTAGGTGCCCACTGTAGGAGGGGCACATGATCTCTTAAGGTGGTTCAAAGGACAAGAAATGCAAATTACCTGCTACAAGTTCTTGACCAGAGGACGTGACCTTGGTTTTGCAAGCTCCATTCAAATATCTGACATTGCAAAATCAATCTGTGAGAGTCTGCAAATCTAGCTTAAACAAAAGACCATAGATTGCTCAGAGATTCTAGCTAGATAGAAAACAATAGATGCACATGCCAAAATCCATACAGAGGATTAAAATATACCTTTCCATCTGAACCCAAGCTAAAAATACTTGTCTCATCTGGCCCAAAGAGAAGTGAGCTTATTGCAGTATCATGTGCAGGCCACCCAGTGATTTGTAGACCAGCAGACATGTCTTTGATCAGTCAAGGTGCATGCATATTACATCCTTAGTTCAGCACAATTGAAAAACTCAAAAAAATGTGGCATTCTTCTCCTTTGTTACTGATTTGTAGGCCCTTCAGCTAAAGGGCTAACCAGTCCATCAGGAAACAGAAATGACACAATACAAACATGCACAAAATTTAAGGCCATAAAATTACAAAGGATACCAAACATATGAATCATTCCATCAGTTGCAGAGGCAGCTAAAATCTTCCCATTGTGATTGAAGCATAGGGAAGTAATTGCAGGTGGATCTTCACCAAGAGGAAGGACTGTCTTCATTAAAGTTGAAGTCCATTAAGGCACAGATGATTTTCAAGACAAGCGAATAATCATTAAATAATAAATGTCTGTATATACAACCACATACCATAGCTTTCCATGTTTTCATGTTCCATACAGTCAATGAAGCATACCCGAGAGAGTCCATAGAGTTTGAACCAAGCCTGCAAGCAGAATGACATCCTACTTATCTCATGCCACCTAAGTTTTTACTAAAAAAGGAGAGCATAAAACTACTATGCCAATGAGCAATCAACCTTCCGATGCATTCTAAATAGTGGCTACCCACCACAAAATAAAGATTTAAGAAATTACTTAACAACCTACCATAACTGCTCAAAAACACCACAAGTGTGTGTGAATTACAGAGTTTATAGATAAGAAAAATGAACCATGTTAGTAATGCATATTTTTCAAAACAAGAGGCTCCACAATTATGATCTATACAGTCCATACTTGAGCTCTTCTGATGCGTAATATGACTCCATTTATATCAATGCCCTAGACAAATTCATTTTAAGTATACTCCAGAATATTTAAGCCTATGTTTCACATCTCAGTTATGCAACCATTCTGAACTGCATAGACTGCATGCAGGAACTGGTTACTGCAGATTGTGGTACAATACATTTCCACCAGAAGTTTGAGTTCAACTAATTCTAGTACAACAGATTTCTTAAGGGTTGAAAATGCACAATAGCAAAAGAACAAGTCAAAATAAGATTATCACATGTTCAATGAGAAAACAAAGACGCAGATAGTTGACCATTAGTAAATAAATTAAAAATATCAGCCAAACTTAATCCAAGAGAATTAACAACCTAACACTGTACCTAAATTAACCCTAACCCTATCATTATGAGCAACATTTCACTAACAACTCGAAACTCATCAGCTAGCATATTGATAATGTAACTTCACACATTTAAGTCAAGTAAGACCCTTAAAACACAGGACAATCTTCACTAAAGAACATAATCTAGCACATAGGCAGTTTAACTTGAAATTATAAATATAGAAGATACCTCCTTGATGAAGCTGCAGAAACAAATATAGGTTCCACAGGGCTGCACTTTAAATCCAAGACACTGTGGAACAGAAAAAAAGAGATGAAGAGCAAGCACAAACTAATTATTAAAAATTGCTAAACATGGTATTCTGAGTTGGTACCTTGGAAAGGCTTCGGTTGTATTCAGATCACAGACAACTCTCTTAGCATCGACATTCCATGCTTTAATGCCTCCATCAGCAGTGCCTATGAGAAGCTTTAGGAACAACAAAATTTAAAAGCAGGAATCTTTGAACTGCAACAACCATAAAAAAATCCCTAATCAAACTATATGCACGGACATTGAAGAATAATGTAAATAGATACCAATCGGTCAGATTTGCATTCCCAGTCAAGCGACATAATCTCAGCTCCACAATATATGGTCGCATTTCTAGATGCTGGAATTGATGAGTCATATGTCCATATCCTTCAAAAATAACGACCATAAAAAATAAGAAAGTAAACCAAAAGTTAGCAGACACTGACTTAAAAACAATTGTGAGTACAAATGCCATCCTACTGTCTTCTCAAGTGCATTTTCTAACCAAGGTATCTGACAGTAAATTTCATTAAGAACCATAGTCAGCAGTAACCCATCTAAACTGTATCAGTCAGTAGTCAGATTATAAGGATCACTGACTGTTTTTCTCTTCGTTTTTTTTTTATTCCTCCTTTTTTCCTTTCTTGAAATTTAATGTACATTCACTATGGAGCAGCCCAGAGATGATCAAAGATCTGCACATAAGGAATCCATGAAGCAGCCCAAGGCAGCAACATGCTCTACTGTACGTACATCAAGTTTATGTGCATACCTGACAGTGCCATCCACAGAAGCACTAGCTATATTGTTCCCAGATGCAGAAAACCGGCAACGAGTAATTGAACTTGTGTGGCCCAGAAATGTCTCCTGGAAACCAAGGTGTTCAAGCAGTTGAACAAATATAATAAAATAAAAAAGAAATCACACAAAGATGATGTTTGAATATATCCTAATAGAGAACTTACCTGGAACTCTGCACTCACTTCAGGAAATTCTTCTTCTCTAAGCACTTCTCTGCCATTCTCTGTCAAAACACATTCAGTAATTACCTAACCCATTAAAGCAACAGAAAATGACATTTAAACAAATCTACTGCCTGGTTTCCAACCACATTGACAAAAAAATGACAAATAAATGGTTCCCCTCTATATTTTGAGCTCAAAGTTATTCAAAAACATACTTATTGACAGTATGCTTGCTTACTGTTAAGGTCATGGAGATACCACATTAGCCTCAAATCTAAGAAGGGAAGCTAAGCAGAAATGTCACTTACCAACAAAATGGCTACCATAGAACCTTGGAGCAGTATCATCAACTCCACTATATGAAGCATGAAGAATTGAAGCAGAATATAAATCATGCCCAGATGAGGACTTGGCATCGCTTGATATGATTTTGGCAGGTTCAGTGGCAGAACATTCCTCACTCAGCTCTCTTTTACTCAAATGTGAGGTTGCAGGAGCACATTGTTCCTCACTACTTGTGGATAGATGTAGATTTTCATCATCTACACCACTCGATGTAGTCGAACTGTTAGTTGCTCCCATGCTCCTATTCAATTTTCATGCAGCAATACTGGTATCATCATGTGTTCAAATAACATCAATTTAATCATAAGATGCAGAAAGTCCCACCATTGTCCAGCAAAATACAAAAATTCTTACCTTTTTGATTGACCTGATTGACCCTCCTTCTCCTCCAGTAAGGCCCGAAGTTGCGACAACTTGAGATTAAGATGCTTGTTGTCTTTCTTAAGACGGCTAATTGTATTTTTTTCTGAACTGATCTTCAGTAGGGCAGGAAGGCGTGGTTTGGTTAAGGACATTCTTCAAAATCCCTCATTAATTGAATCACTCTAATGTCAAGGAAAAAAGAATATTATATGCAATGCTGTGATCTTGCAATAATTGAAAATAAAATTCTCCTCATATGCCTAGGCAAGAATGGTGGTAGTTCACCAAGCACGGAAGACAGGTTAAGTACTGCAAGATACAATCTACACATATACCACCTCATGCTTAACTAAAATTCCCACTGTACCTCCTCTTGTGATAAATTAGGTAAGATTTTGTGAGATCATAATGGATATCTTTAGATGCATAACCTTTGAAGACCAGTTTCATTTTGAAATGCAGATAAGTTCCCTAATAAGGAATGCCTAAGGGCTCTCTATAAATCTACACATGATATCCTACACAATTTATGTAAAGCACCTTCAGAAGGGAAGCATCAATTGCAAAGGATATGAGTACCATTGAAGATCTCGCTAAAAAAATTCCTCACAGAAAGACGGAGAGCTTCATACCATTCCTTGGAGAAATAAACACGAAACTCAGGATCCAAGCTTGGGTTCTTTAAATAAGGAATGGCTGCAATGCATACTCGATAAAATCAGACAACAAGAAAACAAGACAAAAAAAAACAAACAAAAAAACAGAAGCTAAAACAAATGAACCCACCAAACCAAGGAGTCCAATCATAACTCTTTAGAAGCAGATCATTTCCATTCATTCCAAAAAACTCCACAACCTTATCTTTCCTCCCAGATTGCAATGCATGAACAATGTAACACTGAAGAATGGAACCCTCCAATTTTGACAAGGTATCAAGCATCACAGTCTCGGACCATGACGAAAAGCACTGCTTAAAGAAACTGAACAGACCAACTAGTTTTTCGGCCTGGAATTTAGGAATATATACCGCAAAAATTAAGTCTAATATCTTATTAACTTGAAACCCTTTACCAATATCCGTGCACAATTCCGTCTCAAAAGCTTGTAATGTATTTGTAAATCCCCGGAAGACCAAATATTCCCTCACAAGCTCTTCAGCATATTGCATATTCTCCATCTAATATTATCTACAGAAATAAAGATAATCTTCAGCATCAGTAACTTATTCAATCCATGGATCAACCAATGCCAACCAAATTATCATAAAAAACTAAGAAAAGAAAGTTTCATCTAAAGTATGAATATGAAGGATTCCAATTAAATTATCTAGGGCTTATCATTCTAGAGATGCATAAATTGGGGATCCTTGATGGAATTTCGTACCTTTATGGAATTGCGGAGAAGTCGAAGCGAGCAGGGTGTAAGGAATGGACCTTGAATTTTGAATTATGGTTGAAGAAAAGGATCTTTCAATTCTTCGATGGATTCTGATGGGGTTTTGGGTGACAGCTACAATGAGCTTCGCGCTTAAATTTTCTATGCGCTTTTCTAAATACCTTTTGTTTTTTACCCTATTTTGTTGGTTTATTGGCCTCATCACTAACGTATGCTGGAAGCCTGGAAGGTTATGCTAGCAAATAGATACGAACCCAATTAGCTACCGAATTTTCATTAATTCACCCCTTACACTGTGCCACGTCACTGGAATTTCTATTTCTGTGTCGGTTTTCCTTTAGAGTTCCCTCCTTGAGAGTTAGAAACTTATTTTTCTCTTTGAGTAAATAATTAATGGCGTCCTGTGCATTTGTCTGTAAACATTAATTTCATTTTTTTATTACTATTAGACACTTAAGTATTTTTCATATATACTTTTCATTGATATTAGTAGTTTTTATAATTAATAACATTTTTTTCATTAAAAAAGAGATATTAAAATTTTATTTTTTAAATAAAAAATAATACATTAATTAATGAGTTAAAATGCTCAAATATTTATAACTAATAATATTTATTATAATCAAATTTCTAATTTGTGATGATACTTAATCCGGATAATTTTTACAAGATCAAGTAGCCTGGTGGAATCAACGCGACCCCTTACAGTCTGGCTTAACTGAGGTAAACGGTGGTCCAATCGATTCAACCAAACTCAAGCTTTGGTTGCCCAAAAAAGAGTTCCAAGTTACAATACAAGCGAATAACATCATAACTGCAAAAGAATTCAAAGCTGCTATTACCATGGTTATAAAAATTTTGGACTTTAATAGTTAAACCTCATCAGGCTTCAATATTTTACAGGCAGGCCTCTGCTCGGGGCTCGCAGCACTGTTCTCCAATCTGTGTTTATGGCTTTCAGCTCCATGTATTTGCTTTTTCACAGTTCCCTGCTCTATGAAATTCAAGTCTAGCTGATACTGAGCCCGGAAAAAGTTTGCCATGGTATTCAAGAAAGCCAAAATGTAGATTAAAGATGATAACAGGGAGAGAGTGAAGGGTACCCACCAATTCTGGCATTGGCTGGATGAAGCTTGAATGGTGATTGGGATCAAAACTATGCCTTGGAAAATGAGGAAGGCAATGGTTAGAAGCTTTGCTTTCTGCTCATACAACTGCATTCCTTTCTGTTGTTTTTCAGCTGTAAGGCCTAATTCCTCGAAGTTTCTGTTAAGCTCCTCAAGCTTGGCCATAATGAATAGCAGTACACGCTAATCATAGTAATGCACTGCAACTTATATAGACTGCAGAAGTGCCAAAACCAACTAAAAAAGAAACTTGGATGGATCGTGTGAACTGTGGTTTTGCGCGTTTTTTCAATTTCCTTGTTCTTTCAGGTGCAATTCCTGGAACATTGTTGTGAGGAACCAGTGACCCTTGGCGTTAGTTGTAGTCCATCAACAAAATAAAAATGCTACGTAATGCAGCATTCGTCCAGATTACGCAAGCCACTCCTTTTGACTTTGCAGGCATGACCAGAATTTATGAAATCTTTTAATTGTCGTCAGTATTATTTCGTCATGCTTTTTGTCGTTTAAGGAGGAAGCCGCGTGAGTTTTATTGACATCTGTTCAACGTATACTGTTAGACTATAAAGGTCGATGCTTCTTTAGTTATGTTTTCCACGAGTTCTTTCCGGGACATTATGGGACAGAGGATTTCTAATCCATGAAACCACCCAAAAAGTTCCAGGCAAAGAGGCGAAGACTAACAGAAAGTGACGATTGGAAATACTATTAGCAACCCTTTTGATTTTCCTTGACAACTTTCATAAGCCAGTCGGAATTGCATACAATAAGGGAAATGTGATTGTTAGAGAGAAAATAATAATAAAATATTTTACATCTAAATATTTGATTTATTAATTAATTTATAATTTTTTATTTTTTTAAAAAATAAAATTTAATTTTTTTAATTATAAAAAAATAAAATTTATAATTATTATAATTCAAATTCCATCATCCCGTTTTAGCAGTAAAACGAGGAGATTCAACGATAAAATGAAGGGTTCAATAATCCAAAAATTTCGATATCCAGATGCTTATAGTTTATAGTTCTTGTCAATAAAGTCATTTGAAGGCAGCGAAAGAAATGATTTCTGTAGAACCACAGTCCTGCTTTAGGTACATATTGAGGTGTCATGCTTTGGCTGAAGCAACTATTTTGAATTTCCCCATTAACAAGTTCATCAAAAGGTCGCAATTCCTCTAAACATAGTGTCTATGCATTGTAGAACTGTGCAGGCTTTATAGGATCCTCAATTTTAAATAACAAAAATAATTGTGAAAAAGAATAATGGAAACAACGAATTTCTTTCTCTGTTTTTTTTTTCCTTGCTGTGTAAGCAGCAATGAATTGGGTGGTGACAGCTAAGACAATTACTATATTGACCAACCTTTTGACAGCTGCCTGAAGCATCCAAAGGTTGTGATCACATGATCCGCACAAAATTTTGTTATGGTTTTACAAAGATCATCTTGGTGACATTGTGGAATAACTGCAGGTAGCCTGAGATGACGGACGGGTGGTGATGGTGAAGGAGCTGGACTGATTGAAATCTCTTTTCATTGCTTTGTATACCTCTTCCAAGCCTTCCTCAACCAATTCCAAAACTGTTTGAGGTATTGGTGGTTCGTTAATATCCATAGATCCTTCTAGCATTTTCACCACTTCTCCCATTGAAGGCCTCATGAAGACCTCATCTTGAATGCACCAAAAGGCAACTTTCAATGCTCTCGTGAGCTCTTCTTTATCTACTGCCCCTCTTAGTCGCCTATCTGCAACGTTAATAGGTGCGCCATTTGTGAGCTCCTGCAGAAATCATTGCCAATATGATTAGTAAGTACAATATGATTAGTAAGTACAAGATGATTTATAACTGATTGGTTTTTTGATTGATTGAACATTGTATGAGTATGGAGGATAACTCTTAATGTTAAGCTAGTCCAGAGCCAAACAAGATAAGATCGTGGACAGCAACAGGCTGCTAAAAGTATAGAGCTAATTGATCAAGTCACCCTGGGAGAGGCTATTCTGTAAATTTGTTTGTTCCTATTTAGTTATTTATTTATTTATTTTTGAGATGCTAGTTTCTATTACTTATGAATTCTTGGAGCAGGTCCAGCCTCTTGAAAGGGCTTTTCAATTGACCCGTTTTCGTTTTTCCCTCAAAATCCCTAATGGAGAAAACCCAATATGCCATGCCGGCCAAAATTATTTAATTGAAAAAGAATTCTTGAATACCTTATACGCCCATCCAGGGTAAAAAAAGTCCTCAGCATCAAAAGACATGTCAAGGTTTCTTCGGCCACCAAGAATCTCCAAAAGGAGCATTCCATAACTGTAAACATCAGCCTTGACAGTTATTGGACGATTGCTAACCCATTCAGGTGCCAAATACCCTCTAGTTCCTCTGACCATAGTTACAACGTGCGAGTGCTCTCTTCCCATCAACTTAGCTAGGCCAAAATCTGATAATTTGGGGCAGAAGTTCTCATCTAACAAGATGTTTTCTGGTTTGATGTCACAGTGTATTATTCGATTTCTACATTGCTCATGAAAGTATGCAATTCCTTGTGCGGTAGCCACAGCAATATTGAAGCGAGTTGGCCAATCCAGCAACCTGTCCCGGCTCTGATAGGAGGGAAAGATCCACTTGTCCAGGGATCCATTTTTCATAAACTCGTAAACCAGAAGACTGCCAACAAAAACAGATGGACATTAAAAGTGAATATTCTGCTCTTTGTTTTTTATTTTATGGAATATTCTGCTCATTTACATCTCAATTATGAGATGTTGGTCCCTAGCCGTAAGTTGTATCAAAACAATAATTCTTAAGCGGCAGCAGTTATGCCAAATTACATTTGAAGAAGTTATCGGAGTAAGAAATTGAACAGAACGAAAATAATTCCTTACCGCTGTGAACCCTCAGAGCAGTACCCGCATAGGCGAACTAAGTTCATGTGATGCATTGAGCCAATTGTATTTACTTCAGTTATAAACTCCTTCTCTCCGTGAGGCAAAACACGGTCAAGTTTCTTCACGGCCACCAATGTTCCATCAGTAAGGATTCCCTTGTATACACTTCCAAATCCTCCTGCGAAAGAGCACACAAGTTGCAAATGTGTAACTAAAATAATCTAATGAATGCAACTCTGCATTTTTTGTACTCTGTTTTACCTGTTCCGAGCAGCTGAGAAAAATTGCAGGTACGAAGTTGCAAATCACGATAGCTGAAATTCAGGGGAGCTCCTTCCAAAATCAAAGAGCTTTCAATTGCTTTCTTTAAATATTTTCTTCTATGAACATTGTAATATAATAATAGGCAAAGTAACCCAATAAGGAAACTCATGCTTAGTACAATAGGAAGTACCAAAATCTTCGCACGGCCATTGCCAGAACCTTCTGAAGAATCACCGGACCCTCTTGTGTGATCACCTGGTTCCAATGAGAGATCAGACCTGACCTTCACAAACAAGGTGGAACCAGGATCCTCAAACCCCCCGTAGTCCAGGCTCTTCAGAATCCAGCAGTAAGGCTTCTCATCATCTAACCCATAAACAGAAGCAACACAATCACAATCTGATAAACAGGCATCTCCACACTTTGAGACCGTCGCAATGTCACTGTAATTTGCTATCACAGAAGAATAAGAGAAATAGTAATTGGTTTGTTGTACTGTTGCCATCTTAAACTGAGAGGTGTGATTTTTATTCCTAGAATCACAGTTGCCGGTCAAAGATGAATTCTGCGAGCAATAGCTTTCAGCGGCACTGCCTACCTTATAAGTACCAGGTAAGCATGTACAAGAAGCATTTGTTTTGCTTCTGTCCAAATTACATATTCCATTACCACATATTCCAGCAACATCACAAGGGTTTGACACTGCAGCCCATTCAGGCACCCATTGGCGTGACCCATTCACATTATTATCCCATCTATACATACGTAAATTGCCATTAGTCTCAATTATCAATCTCCGAAGGACTGACAATCGTACATTTGATTGATTTGTTGCGGAAGCTAATCCGTTATAATCTCCATCATTCTGATACACATAAACTGCTCCGTTTGATGACTCGCCATAGACAATTCCGAAGCTTCCTGCTTCATCTAGTACTGCAACAACATCCCCAGTGACATTGGAAATATCAGGTGCCGCCCAATAGGAGTAGTTAGTATAAGCCTCAGGGGAAGCATCATATGAATCAGGCAAGTTGTATGTTAAGGCAAGGGTTAGTGAAGTAGGCTGTTGAAGCATTTTGAGAGCAAAATAGCCACCATGTGAAGGTGACTTTGATGATGTTAGTTCTAGTGAAACTGTCAAGGGCTGGTTTGGAAGAAGTGTATCGGATGGGTGTTCAAAGCTTTGCCATGCAGGGCGGTTGTTGTTGGTATATAGGATGAAATTGCCTGATTCGGACATGACTGCAAATTCAACATGGGTTCCTGATGTGTTTGACGTCCAAACAGTGGCGTCCCCATCCATGAGCACGAGATTTCCAGTTGTGTCCAGCTCCAGGATTGCATCTTTGGTGACAGGAGAATTTCTATTCAGGGCATCATTGAGAGAAAAAGTTTTGGCTTAAAGTCGTCATAATATAACCTGCGAGAGCTTTGGTAAAGACTACAGATGGAGAAATGGTTTGTGATCTTTTTTAAAGTAAAACCAGCGACCATCCAGCAACTTACGCCAAAACTTCCAAGCATATTGTAATAGTTCAAATTCAAAACTACGCTATTAATTTGAAAGCGAAAGAACTAGAACATAGCAAACAATGCGATTTGCATAATCAAAGATTTATTATTGTAACTAAAGCAGAACTTACCTGTTAGCTGACCAAACTACGGTTCTATCTCCAGGAAGCTCAGCAAACCAGATTCCAAGCAGAAAGCGATCACGAGTGTCTGATGGAGTGAAACCAAAAGCAAAGGTTCCATTATCCGAAACCCAGGGTCGTCCTTGATCACTAGCCAACAGACTTGAACCCAAACCAATTTGGCCAGCAATGCAGCCCGAGAACCAAACCATAACCGAGAAAAAAAAGACCCAAGTGCTACACAAACAAGAATTAGCCATGGGGAGCTCCAGTGGCAAGTGAAATATCGTTCAAGAATCAAGACCTTGCTCAAAATGGAATGACCATCTTTTAAACTAGTGGTGCATGAGTAACAGAAGAAGAAAAGAGCCTATTGTGGGGGCAGAAACGTTGAAGATCATAACACGTGTACAGAGGTGGGTGAGCTAAAACTTTGAAAAACTTGTACACCAAAATTGGTCGGCCACGGCGTCTAGTGATAAAATTGGACATTGTTACGTGTTAAAACATTCGTGGCCTTTCGATGAGGCTGTGACCAAACGAGAGGCCGAAGCCCATTGACACGCAACTGAAAGCTAATACATACATGAAGAGTTCCTCTAATTTCCACACAGTTGCATTATCTGGATCTGTACATATCAGTACTTTGCTTTCATGGAGATGAATGATTGCATCTTAAAATCTATTCTTTGACTTTTTGCTGGTTGGATCGATGGAAAATTGCGTCTAAAGATTATGAATCGGCTGAAAATTTGTTACACAATAAGTCGTCGGTGTGTTTAATTTCTGATCCCAGTTTCAAAGCCTTCAAAAATTGGCAGTCCCGATCAAAATTGAAAAATGAGCATTTTCCAACATCCATTTGCTGCAAATGGTGCATTGTCATATCATATGGACCAGCAAAAGTAACCATCTGTTGAAAATAGACGCAAATAATCTTTGATTGTGGCTTGTGTTTGAAGGATCTTGAATTATCTGAAATTATTGTTATATGTATACATTTTGAGGCTCCTTCACAAATTTCTTATGCATTGACATCACTCAGTTGACATTATCCCTCAATCCTCACCTATATTTTCCTTCCCAAATTTTAATATTTAACAACGAAAGCTTGTCAACAATAATTTCATATTGTTATTTGGCTTTTTTAATGTAACGAGTATGTTATTATTTGGTTGAATTCTTAACTTTTCCCACCATATTATGCTACTCCAACTCTACCATAAGTGAGAGTAATAAGAGGAGCAGATATTGGAAAATGGGAAAATGTAGAAAAAAAGGAATATTTTTAAAATATTAAGGTGGAATTATACTCTCTATGCATATTTTCAGAATATTTACTAATTTACCTTATAAATAACTTTGAATACATATTTACATTTAGGTGTTAATTTATAGATAAGTTATTGATTAGTGAGTCATAATTTGAAAATTTTAGCTTAGTAAGATGATATTTACTAAAAATTAAAATAAGAAATGAAATTTTATTGAGGCAGTGTTGGTAGGTCGTCCATACGAGAATTGCACATCGGAGTTTGGACATCGAAACAAAGCGCACCGTTTCGTACGTGGGGATGCGTCGTCACTTTAATCTTCTTCCTTCTTCCATTAATCTTTGAGCTCGCCCGGGGAACCACCTGGCAAGTGGCCAGTCACAGCTTAGCATCTCTCTCTCTATCTCCAAAAACGACGTCGTAATAATATCCTTGTTTATTGAGAGCCCGGGCATTCTACATCTAATGCATAATGTAAACAATTTCGATCCGCCGATTCTATTCAATCCGCTGTTGCCTCGATCTCAACCGCTGGCTCCTACGCTCTCTCTGGATTCCCCATTCTTCTTTTCCCTCCAAATTCTAGGGTTAGGGTTTTGAATTCTCAAGAGCCCCGTTATACTCAACCACTGCTTACGTGTCGCCGATGAACCCTTCGAGTCTCTAAGTAAGTTCTCAGTCTCCTTCATACATGCAGTAATTTTTTGGGGTTCCTGATAAAACTGGAGGAAGCTAACCGTATCGATTATGAACTTAAATTTCAAATTTTTAGAGTTTCTAATGAGAATCTGAATTTCAAGCCAACATTTTATGGTAAATTCGTAAAGTTTAATATATAGCTAACGTAGAGGATTAGTGGATTTAATGAGATCTTGAGGTTGCTGAGATGTACTGTCAATGGCATTGATTGTTTATTGAGAGCAAATAGTGTTTGTAGAGTGTAATATGATCAGCTGCTGAAAAACTAAAGATTATCATCGAAAATTTCGTGCTTCATGATGTATGATAAACTTGCATAAGATGTACATTTAATTATGCCTCTAATTTTTTAATAAAATTTTAGCTGGAAATCAAATTATAAGATTGAACGTAAATTTTTAGGAAATAACTTTTAACAGTCGCCGCCTCTAAAAAATATGTTGTAAATTCATTATACTCTTAGTCTTAGATTTTGGAATGTGTGAAGAGAGTGCGGAAGAGGGAGTTGGAGTACATGTGAAGAGGGAATCAACCAGGAAAATGAAAAGAAATGTGTTGAAGTAAGATTTTTTGGTCTTGTAGGTTATGTCCTCTGGATCACTTCATTCTGGCTGGTAGGATTTTGGACACTTTATTCCTAGCTCGTACAGTGGTGGGGTTAGAAAGGAGTTCTTGAGATAGAGGACATGCCTTTTAATTTTATAGCTTCACGACAGATGCAGATGAAGGTCTCTCTGGGATGGCTATCCTCCACTTTTGTCTTTCAAACTTTCATCCCCTGCCATCTGACGGGTACAGGTTTAGTTTTTGCGGAAAGTAGGAATTTGACATCAGTTTGGGCTGCTCATGTTTCCACTGGTATACTGCTCTTACAGGTCAACCTTAGCTTGTTGCCTAGACCCTAGTCTTCCTTTTGCTACAGTCACTATCTCAAGTTTAGAGCAATCCATTGTGGCAAGACACCTAGTTGCAATTGCCCTTTATGCTGTGGTTGTTTCAATTTGTGCCTCAATCTTGGTGGAGATTGTTTTCTCAAGGGTTATTACTCTCCCTCTTTTGGCCCAAGTGCATGCCTGGATGGTGTTTAATTTTGGTTAGTTTATTAGCTTTTTCCTTGGTCCATTTTAAAATGTAGAGGATGCTACCACTTGCAATTCCTTGGTGTGTTGATGGTTGATGTTTTTTTCACAATCAAGGAACCTGTTGGCATTGATGCTTTGGGGTTCATAAATATTATATGAAATACTAGTAATAAATTTTGTTCTGTACTTTATTCTTCTTAATTAGGTATTGGTTGCCGTTGTCTTTCCAACTGTCTTCAATAATTGTGTTTTTTTTAGTATGTCACCTGCATATATTATGATAGATATTTCCTGTGTGGCTCGGCTTCAAGGGGTGCAATAGCTTAGTATTATTTTATACTAAACATTCTTGCTGATATAAACATTTCTGATTTTCTTCTGTCATCTAAAACATAATACCACGTCAAAATAAAAAGGATGTTCCTTTAAAGTTTTGATAGAATTTTGGGTTTAGTTGAAGGTAAATTCCTGTTTTAGCTGTTATTTGAATTGACTGCAGCATCCTTTTGAGCTGCTATGATCCACTGAAGCTGTTGACAGATAATATGCCAAGAGTAAGTCCACTTGGAACTTTGTTAAAGTTCCTTTCTTCGGGGCTGTTATAGAAAAAATAGTTAGATTCACTTTTTTTTTCTGCATCTAAATTTGCCAGGTCTTCATGCCTGCCAATTCAGAGTTAAAGGTGCATAATTCAAGAAGCAGGTCCAAGCACTTTGTGAATCTTCTAATAGTTGAAGTTTCCCTTCCATTTGCTAGCTATGCATACAAAGTTGTTTTATGGTGTTTATTTACTACTTTTTATACGTACTGCTCAGTTATAAAGGTTATCATACCAATAATGGATATTATATATATTTAAATTTTTATATGTTAAGATGTTAGATGAACTGAATGGATGGTTTTTCCTCAATCCATAGTGATATTTTGTGCAATCAAAAACATTCTTTTCAGAACTTAACTGCTTTATGAATGCTTAGATTCTCTATCTATTGCTTGTTGTCTTGAAGGAGGCTACAATGTAGGGACCAGTTGGTTTCAAGTCACTTTCTATTTTTGGCTTTTGGCCCAGAAACCTAGGTCAATGTCTATTTCATTCTCCGACAACTGTAGGGACCCTTGTCTGCTATTTTTGTTTTTGTAGATTGTCGGTAAATTATAATTACTTCTAGTTTTAATGAAAGGACATCACTTTCTCAAGCTTTCAAGTATTGAGGAGATCAAACTCACCACCACTAAGAGAATTAGTGGATGCAAAAGCCTGAAATTCCCTTACCAATAGAACTTGGTGATATTTGGTTTTCCCTTTTTCTTCTTGTTGAGATTTCTAATGTATCTCCTTAACTGATTCAAGGACCAAACTGCAGAAACGTGTGACAATGAGCATCATTTTATTTTATTTTATTTTCTATACCCAGCACTATTATTTTTGTTCATTGTCTTCTTTTATAATTGTTAGTAATGAATTGGAGGACTTCATGTTATTGTCTGTGTCAAAATTTTGTAATTCTGGCTGAGCATTGTTTTTGTGTTTTGACCCACTTTTCTTAACCGACATGCTTTTGCTTCTCTTTCAATTCTCCTTGTAGCATAAGGTATATTCAATGCTGTGAATATAAACTTATCTGCAGGTTTTGGAAGTATTACAATTTGATAATGTACACTTGATAGGAGTTTAAGAAATTAGCAGAAGTTTGTTTGCCATGGTTATGCAATTTTAGTCGGAGTGGGAAGGTGTACTCTTTATAGTTTCTTTATATACTTCCCTGTAATTTTTGTTTTTAATGTTGATTTTGATAACTCTTTTGAGACATTGGGGTATGGGTATGAAGATAAACTGTTTACATAACATATTAAATTAAGAAAAATGCACAGCAGCTTCGTACGCACATTTTGTCACATTCATAGTTTCATTATTTAATGTACCACTGGCATTTATTGTGGTATAAAAAAAGCATTTTATCCTTTTAAGTTGAGCCTTAAGTCTTAGCAGGTAGGATGTAAGCATCAGAATGGTGAACTCACCTTTTCAAATTGGTGGTACCATCCCACCAAATTAATGCTAAGACATTAGAATGTGACGAGTGGATGATGAAACTAGGAGCAAAGTGAAATCAACAATTCTGACTTGAACATAGGAATAGGTCGTTTAGGTTTGTTTAAGGAGGAACTTTGAGGAAAGTGAAATCAACAATTCTGACTAGAACATAGGAATAAGTCATCTAGGTTTGTAGAAGGAGGAACTTTGTAAAGTAAGAAGACAGTAGTTATTCTTTTATTGTGGTTTAAGTAGCATCTTGGATAAATTATGCTTGTGCATGAACCTGCTCCTCCTAAACCCCAATTGCCTTTTCATTGTTGTTGTTTCACTTTTTATAGAATAGATAAATATATGAGAAATGATAGAAAGAGTAGATTATTCTGTGCTTGCTTTAGTTTCTGGAAGTGCTGCTTGAGATGAAGATGAAGTATATACAGGAACCTAATTTCTTTGTATATTTACTTTCTTCTGATTGTAGATTAAACAAATTTGCAATGAGAGGTCATCTATTTTGCAAAGTTAAAAGGAAGTGTGGGGTAAAGGGTTGATGCAACAGTACACTATGAGTGCTAGTGGGGGCTCACATTTCTGTTTCTTTTCTCCTTTTCCCTTTTCAATTATTAAAATTCACATATATATAAAACTGGTAGGGGGAGGATATTAAGGTATATAAATATATTTGAGATATGTTACAGAAGAGGCGGGCCTTTGCTATTGCCCACATTGTAGTCCCTTTCCCTTACAGTACAAATTCAATCCCTTCTCCTCTGTTTTCCTGCATCCCTTAATAGAGTGGAAGCCATGGAAACTTCCCAGCCCCTCTCCATTGAAAGCTTTTCATACAGTTGGTTAGTAAACCTAAAGCCTTCTTTAGAAAGTCTTGACAGCTCCCTGAGGGCCTCATTTGATGCATGTGATGAAGCTTCCTTCATTGAGATGGACCCGAGAATGCCACCCTCCAGGAGATTCTTCAGAAATTCTCAAGATTTTAAGTTTGACTTTCCCATCTCACAAACTCCTCTCACCCTTGTTCATGCAGATGAGCTCTTTTCCAATGGTTATGTCATGCCTTTCTTTGTTAACCCTTTGAAGATGGAGGCATATGAAGTCTCTAATTCAACTTCAACCCTGCCTACCTCTTCACATGCACCAAACCTTGTGGTTCCAGCTTGTAAAACAAGCCGTCCTTCTTTGAGAAGGTGTCGAAGATTGTCCAAACGAATATTTTTGAAATATTTGGATTTTCTCAGGCCATTATACAGAAGAATACGAGGACGCAAGTCAAGTGGTAGAGCTGAAAGTGTTGATGCAAGAGTTCAGGTAATGAAGAAGTGGGTATATTCGGCAGAAACATCTCCTCGAGTAAGTGTTGCCTACTCTGCTGATGAGTGGAGAAAGTCTTGCGATTCTGAAAGCTCAATTTATGAGGCAGTTTTGCATTGCAAAAGATCAATCGGTATGTTAAATCTTCTTTTGCTTAACTATTGTTCCATTTGAGCATTTGGAATCAAAATTCTGATTCTGATATTCTTTCCTATTTCGTTCTCAGGAAAATGAATGGAGGCAGATCCGTTTCAAATGCACATGGGAGAGAGGAAATGGGAGGTTATCTGCCACTTGTTATTTGTCCTCTTTCTTCTCTCTTCTTTTTGGGGTGACAATGTACATTTGTCCTGTAAGGAAGGTAAAGCTATGTAAATGGTTGGTTGGCCATGGAATTCTGGCCTGATGGGGGGGAAAAGACCTTTGCCCTATTTCGAAATTTTGTTTTTGTCTTTTTCTTCGAAAGAGTAGGACTAACAACTTAAAGGAATCCTCTCCTTTATTCTGTAAAGTTCTGATTTAATGAAAATAAGGATTATTTCATTGAGGGCACAATATCCCTTTAGTTGGAGAAAAAATTAATAAATTTGTGTGAATAATGAAACAAGCATGTTTTTGCAAGTATAATAATAGAACCATGCTTTGATTTAGCTGCCTGCAATCAGGTTACTTTTTATTTCTTATGCTGAGGAACTGTATTTAATAATAATTAAAAAAAAAACAAACAAACAAGCTCACTCTAATGTCATCATTATTACACAGGCGTTTTTATTCTCCCTCCTTTAAATATATCACTGTCTTCACATGCCAAAAGCCAGCATATCTTTTAAACATCTAAGCTAAAATTCTCTTTCACATGCTTTCTAAGTTTCGATCACAATCAATGAGAAGAGAACTTTTCCATCAAAAGAAAAATCAATTAGAAGGAACTCGGGAATTATATAAGATGCCATAATCATGACAGCTGGTTGATTGCCATGTTCATAATTGTTGATTTCTATAGTTTGTTTAATTCCCCACCAAATGAGAGACAGTTTTTGATTACGTGAAAGGAACAAATTTGCCTTACAAGCCTGCTATCTCCCAACCCACGTACATAATGAGAAAGAAAGATTGCATATATGTGAAGAAAATCACTCTTCCATTATCCAAAACTTTATGTGGATGACACATAACTTATCAAACAGAGTAGCCACTTTCTCCTTTAAGTCTCAGTCTACAGTCTTCCTTGTCACTTTGATTTAAACAGGATCAGACCCTTTTATTGCCAGTTGAACCTCCAGGGCTTTGGTATTATCAAAAGAATATCAGTCTTCTTCTGTGTTATGTCTGGTGCAGCTTGAAAATGAGAAAAAAAACGTGTTATTGAAGTAAATAACTCAAAAGCAAGTTAAAACATGCTTCGTTCTGAGGTAAACTTTTGATTCCCTGATGTTACTTTAGAAACATGTTGCATGGATTTTGGACTCGTCCATAGTAATTTGCTGTATTGTAGACCCCTCTCCTGGACCATCCGTTGCACCGAGCTTCAACTTGATTTCAAACGCAATCATGTCGAGGCTATTTCTGTGCCCATATACTTGCGGCAGTATTCTAGCATACAATTTTCATGTATCATAAGATTGTTAGGTGGCACAGCCTTGATAGACCAAGTTAGTTATCTAGATGCTTGAATTGATAATTAAATTTATGTTGGAAATCATCATGAAGCGGAGAATTCTATATTTCTACTCACCCCAAAAGGAAGGCAAGAATTGCAGCCTCATCATTCTGCATACAAGAAATCTCTTTCAAGCTTTACAGCATTCCTTAATTTCAAAATTGTACAAGGTTTTGGGGTCAACCTATTGATAATGAGGTTATGGAATCACAAAAAGCTTGGGGTTTCTTCAAATTATAGGTTAATGTGTTAATCTGAAAAGTGCTGACTGGGAGAAATTGACAAAGAAAGTTTTTGAATTAAAGCAAATTCCTGGGGTCATTTTATTCAATATAGTTAGAAAAAGGAATCAAGAAACTTCTGGTCCCCTAGGCAATGGGGTCCAATATGAGATGGATCTTGCCCTATAAACATGCCCATTCCACTCTAGTTGTCCTGCCATCCGCATGTAACACAACTCAAAAGTTTAGGTGGACTGTTTTCAGCCAATGAAGTGGCGGAGGAAAAAAGGGCATGAAATGAGAAGGTCTGCACATGCCAACCAGCAGGATAGGGAGACATGGACAAATTGTGCTAGGAGAAATGCCAAGGTTTGATAACGTTGATTTTCTGGATCTATCTACTCAATTTTGTCTTCCACGTTGGATTATCTGCTTCTCAACAAAAGAAGCATAACCAAGACTAGCTTTATGACCTTGTTTTTCTCCTTGCTACTTGCTACATCAGCCTAGGTTGTGGGGACCGAAAACTCATACATGCTACTGGTCGCCGCCACTGATTTTCAGTCACCGTAGCTGCTAACAAGACATTAACCTTGTCAGAACAGTGTTTGTCTCCAAATATGACGTAGATGATGCATCTCCAAGATGAGGATATAGGCTTTTGCAATAATGTTCTCAATATAAAATTGTTAAAGGACTCAAAGATCATCTGAAAAGATCACGGGACAAAAATTTACTTCTGATGGAAGTGTTCCTTTTCTGGATCTGGAGGCAATGTCCGTAATTCACTCCATGAAAGGGTTATACTACTAGCTGCAGCTAAAGTCCCGACGTAATGATGCAACAGGAGAAAAATCGACAAATAAACATTACATATGTTATTAAATTTTGTGCGACAACGACGTTAACGATCTTTGCTGCTATCAATCCCCGTTTCATGGAATTTATTATCTTAGGAAAACGCATCAACAAGCATAAAATCGAGTGTGTGCCACCGTGACCAATGTAAAGTGGTAACTTCATTGCCAAGATGCAGAAGTCTTCTCAGGAATTAATTACCTGTACGAGAATATAAACGAATAGCCAAGGGACCAAGGCCCTGTTACATGCTATGTGCCGGGGATTGTTCAGCCTCGGGCCATTGTAACTTCCAGAAAAATGAATAATGCATGTATACTTCTCCCAATTCAGATGTTGTACAGCATTGGATATTCATTGCATTAGGGCAGGGTCTTTATCAACTAGCTGTTTGGCCTTGTTTAAGGACATAAAAGTTTAGACAGCAAGACATAGAGTTATTGGAGCCTTGCAATAGTAGATATAGCAGGAGTTTGCTATCAAGTGTGAATGGAATAACTTTCATTTTAGTTTTAGATGCCGGATGCCGGCTGCTTTCCAGCTAGTTAACAATTCAAGTTGATGAGAGGAACCAGGGCATTTTCCTTTCCATCATGTACTTGTCTTCCATGCATCATTGTCACCATGGATATCACATGCTGTGGAGCTAAAGCTTGAAGTTGGATAAGGCCCTTGCAATTTGTGGTGGTTAATGAACACAAAGTAAAAGATTCTCAGCTTGATAATTTGGTAACTTTAGATCAATATAATCACCAAGGCTTCCTTGGAAATGTAAGCTGCCATACAAATAGGAAAAATTAAGAACTTACTACCTTGATTTAAGATTTGCAACTTTGCAAAGCTACAATTAAGTACAGTTTCTGTTCCTAGCTTGACTTGTATATAATACCTGATTGAGGCCTGACGTATGACATTAAACTCCATGTATTGCACTACTGGAAATTCAGGTTGACACTTGTTTTCCTTAGATAATTTCATATTTTGAAGAATCTGCCTCCAACAGTTGAAAGAGGAAGTTCTTGTGGGGTTTCACATTCAGACAACCAATTGCAATTTGCATGTCCTTAGGTCAGGTTATGTGTTCTAGTAAAACGTAGATTGCTCCTGCAGGATCTTGCTATTTCATTGCTTAGTTTGGTGCACGAAGATTACATAATCAGGTTCTGTTCTTTAAAAAAGATTGGACTCCATTTTTTGTCAAATGGAAACTTAACATCGTTTGCCATAGTAGATGCAGTTTTAAACATCTATCAATATGATTCAATCCATTTAGTTACCAGTTGTTAGTTCCTACCACTCCCATTTGTGCAGAGAGGGCATTTAGTCACCCAGCAGTCCAGCTGCCGAGCCAGGGCATTATCTCAAGGTTATACTGGCTTAGCATGAGCAAAGATATTTCCTAGTCTGCATAAACGCTTAAAATGATCTTGCAGAATTTGTAGTCCTTCTTTTAAGCAATAACAAGAAATCATGTCTGCAAAACCTTATATCAACATCTGTCTCATACATGCTGCAATTTACAACTCATTAAGATTTTACACATTCCTCCTTTCTTGCCGCACAAAGTGCCAGAAACCTTCATTTCTCTCTGCACACATGGTCACTGGAAACATGAAAACTCTAAGGTGGATGTTCCTCACATGTCTAAGTGCTTAAGATTTAAAAAAATGTTGGCAAAAACCTTCTAATGATTGAAACCAAGGCTGATCACAGTGGCCCATGCCCATGCATGAAGCTTTATACTCATTTGGCTTCCGCAGTAGGAATCTTTAAGGCAGCTTCTATATCTTTGCTGTCAGCATTTGCAAATTTCAAGAAAGTTTCAATGTCTTTACTATGATCTGAGCTTCCGTGTCTTACATTGAACCACTTCTTATGAGATTTTGGTTTTCTGTCGCTAATGGCAATGGCAATGTCATTAGGGAAGAGGTCTCGTAGGACAAAGGCATGCAATACAGTCGTTATGAGCAGAGCTGTTACTGTGAGTGTAGCAACAACAGAGAGTAAGATAGAAAGAGTTTGAGTTACTATATTCGTCACTGCACTTGAATATCTCATGGTAGCAACGGCAGCACCAGTCATTGGGAAAGTATATGCCCACCAAGCCAATGAGAACCTGTAAATAGAAGAGAAATTAGAATCAGACTACCTAACAGAGCTGAACTAGCTACAAGGAAATAGTCACAGTGATTCACATACTTGAATCCTCGGAAAAAGTTAACTCGAACTGCCTGCAAACAAAGTACAAATAACACAGTTTAGATTTACTATGCGTGCACTTCATCAAGTTAAATCAACAAAAATAATGCCAAGTGCCAATGAGAATATTATCACATAGAACTGTCTTAAATGGTCTAAAGAATAATGCTGTTATGTATTTAAGATGCAAAGAGGCTAACCAGTGAGAAATAAAGGAACAAGGCAATGAAGTAAGCAATCCGTGATCCATAATCAAAGGAGCCTTGGATCGTGGCCCATGCCATTGAAGCAACACTTGGTGCTGCAACAAACAGAAAGAATACAGGATGGAGCTCTTTTGGGAGTGTTTCATTTGTTGGAAGTCTCTGGTAAAGAGTTACAAAAAGGACTGTATAGTGAGCCAACCCAACAGCAAAGAAGAAGATAGGCCCTTCTTTAAGTCCCATTGATGCACCCAATAGTGCTCCCACAAAGTTCCCAACGATTGAGAGATGGTTTGAAGGATTGGCCACCTTTGAAAGCCTTCGTTGACCACCGGACATCCACTGTCCGTAGATTTTAAGCTCGAGACAGAAGATTGGAGTCATAAGAAAGTACCACAGAACTACAGG